GATTCACTAATTAAATCTATATTTTCTTTCCCTGCAGATCATTATGAGCGGCGCCCAGCGTACAAAGCCTGGCAGTGGCCATAACAAATCAGCCAAACAACAGACATCGCCGCCATTGCGCATTGAGGATGTGGCCGTGACCAGGACCAATAATGTCGAAGAAGCGGCCAAATGTGATAACGATGTGCGCGAGCTGCAACGAGCCTCAAAGGTAAGTTAAAACTGAAATGAAACTAAATGAAAAGTTAATTTAAAAAATACTATTTGGGTAAAAACAGGAAATCAATCGTAGCAATCGACGCATCATGAAACAAACCTTCGACTCGGATGTTCTTGAGATCCCAGAGAAGATCGAGACAGGGCCCAAGGCAATCCCAAACCCATTAGCAATATCAACAGTGAAACCACCTGCAGACAGCACCACCGAAGACGATGACGAGGAGGACGAGGATGATTGGGAGAATATGTTTGATGAGAGCGGCGACTGTTTGGATCCCAAGATAATCCAAGAACTGAACGAGTCCGTGGGCAAGTGCAAGATAGAACTGCCCAAAATGGACTATACTGTGAGTTTACAAAGAAGCTATTTAGAAATAATATCTAAAATAGATTATTTTATATCACCAGCTGTTTCACATTAAACAACAACTGCTTAACGAGGAGGAGTTTCCCCACGTCCTGGAGGTGTCCAATTTCCCAGTAGAGTTCAAAACTCCTGACCTGCTTATGCTTTTCTCTCAGTACAAAGGCAGTGGCTTCGACATTAAATGGGTCGATGATACTCATGCACTGGCTGTCTTTAGCAATTCCCGCATTGGTGAGTAGCTTATATTTCATTATCATATATCCTTTCTTTAACCATATTCCTTATTCTAGCTGCTGAAGTGCTTACAATGGGGCATCCGTTTGTCAAGTTGAAGCCACTGGCCGAGGCCACACTGGAGTCGCGACTGAAGGCCAAAAAGGCCGGCGCCGTCTCATTGCAGCCGTATCGCCAGCGTCCGGAAACGTGCACAGCTTTGGCCCGGCGACTGGTGTCTGGTGCATTGGGTGTTAAGTTGCCAACAGCACCACAGGAGCGGGAGAACGAGAGGCGCGTACTACGTGAAGCCAAAGGTGAGTTTTTCGTATTATTATCTCTTCCCTTATTAATTTCTTTTATGTTTATTTGCAGAACGTAAACTTTTAGCTGCCAAACAGCGGGACGAAGTCTGGGAGAGCTAGACTGTCGCGAAAGCGGAAGCGGAAGGCTAGGTGCATTTTTCTCGCATGCGTAACGCATGCCCCCTCCCACAACAATAACTGCAACAGCAACAACCACATGGAGATCAACTGGAACAACTACAACCATAAAACACCCACAAAAACACTTTCTCAATCAAAGCTAGCAAACTAAGAGAGTAATTTGCATGCCAAGCAATGAATGTACTTTAAATGTTCGCTTTTTGTGCAATTAACACAGATTTTTGCTCAATTTGTTGTAGGTTTTAGCAGCGGATACATGATATTGATGTAATATGCATACTATATCGTCTTAGGCCGTAAGAGAGAAGTATTTATTGGTCGTAGAAAGTAAACATGCATCTGTATGTGTGTACGTGTTGTTTTAACTCCAGACATAAATCTTAATTTTTAAGCGCAAGCAATTTATATATATATCTATATATATATTTTAATAAAGTTTATAGAGCTTAAGTGATAAGTAATAATGTGAAGATTTTTATTATGTATTGGGGAGCTGGTGTGGTATTAAGATGGAATTCTTTCATTAATGGATTATGGAAGTTTTTATTATATATTTGGAAGCCGGTGTGGTGTTATATGGAAGGAAGCATTCATATATCACAGGTTTTTAAAAAGGCAAAAATGCTTTAGTGTGGAATTGGTTTTCTGTATTTGTCTTTAAAAGGGTATCAAACACTCATTTGCAATTTGATTAAAAAAAATTTAATTTTGTTTAACTACTAACAATTTTATTGATAACTCCCTATACAATTTAGAAAAATTATTTAGATCGACTTTTTCGCTTTTTTTAATTTTTTCCTTTTTAATTATTTGGATTTAAATGGGGATTGAAATATATATGTCTTTTGTCAATCATTCCCGATTTGGCTACATATACCATCAACCATGTCTAAAATATATAAAATAATAGCGAACTCACCTCTTTATTTATATACGATAGTTTACAAATTTTAATTTTGATTAATAAAGAATCCAAATATATGTGACTTTTGTGAATCATTGGCCGTTTGTTCTTTATATTTCACCAAAGAAGGCAAAAAAATATAAAGTTATAAGCTTTTTTTATTTTTAAACGATAGTTTTTGGGAAAATCAAAGTTATTCATACTTCGAAAATAAGCTAAAAATTCATTAATTTCAGTTCGGAAAACTTTTCTAATACAGTTTTTATTAGTTTTACAAATTAGCATTTTAAATTTAAAATTAAAAAACAAAAAAACGAAATGACCACTTCAATGCGTTGGAAATGTCTGCCTGAAGTTCTAAGGCAAAGCAAGGATATACAATTGAGTATCGAATTTCAAGTTTACATTATATTTTAAATAATATTGATGAACAGTCTAAAAAAGAACCCTTTATTCACTTTTAAGTTTTATTTTGAGCAAAATAAATAAGCAATTGTTTTTTTAATTAATTTATTTTTTATGAAAAATAAATTTTGTTAAAAATATGTGAATTTATACTCAAATCTAATAATTATCTATGGCGATAAAAGAAAATAACTAAATTTAATATTTGCCATTTGATATTTATAATATAATAAATATATTTGAATATAAAAGTGTTCCCAGACACTTATGTTGATTAATACAAAACATTTTCTTAAAAGAAGGTATTTAATAAATAAGTATAAAAAAACAAGTATCATGAATATAGGCTAAATTACTTTATTAATTTATTTTTTCCGAAAGTGGTATGACAAAAATATCGGTTACAGCCAATGATAATCGATAGTTTCAAAGTAGGCCACCACCATGTTCATCGAACTTCCACCTCTAATACCAATGCCGGTGCATTTAATACAAACAAAAAGAGTTAATAATAGCATTTAAAAGGTAACAGCTGTGCACGAGTGTTTATCTGCAATGCAACTTAACTATTCGAATCATTTTGAATAAATAAAAAGGGAGTTAATAAATCTCAAAGGCATTGATATTCCAGTTGTTGCTTCGGCAGCGTTCTTATTACATTAAAAATAGTTTCGAACCAACGCCACACTGACAACTATAAAATTTATAACCAGTGAATGAAATTATTGATAAGCTTATCATCTGCGGAAGCACAACAACAATTGGAAGGGTTATATAGCAAAGCCAATTGTAGTTCTTGGCAGAAGAGAAATAGACATTTTTTTGACTGCGTGGCCAGCGGTTGTGTGTGTGTTCGTGTAATTTTTTGGGGTATGTACAGTGGATATTGGTTTGAAAGGATATATTACTAAAGATCAACGGATCAAAGATCGATTTTTATTAAAATGTCTTAAAAGTCTTTCAGTTTTCATAAAGTTATTTAAATAATATTAATCTTTTTTTTCAGTCTGAAAGGTTTTATAGAATATTCATAAACTATTACCCACTGTAGCGATATATTCATAAATAAAAGTTTTTAGGGGCGTCAATAGTTGTGAAAGTTGGGAGTCATAAAAATCAAATAAAGCGAAACTAATTGGAGTATACATATGTACTTACCTACGTGTTATGCCGTTTTAGCCCCGTCATGTTTAAACACTTATCAATCCTACTACTTGTGGCGGCAGCAGTTGTGGGAGCTGCAAAGCCGGAAGATAGCGACTCGTGCCACTCCTTCGCCGGCGGATCCGTTTATCCAGCCGAGGAGCCAAAGAGCGATCATCAGCTGCAGTACACAAAGGCAGTCAGTGAGTATAGAAAACTACTTCCTTAGAATCATAACTAAAACCCTTTATCAGTTTCCAAGCCAGCTCCACAGTTTGAGGGAACCGCTGTGGTGAACAAGGAGATTGTGAAGCTATCGCTATCCCAGTATCTGGGTAAATACGTGGTGCTACTCTTCTACCCATTGGACTTGTAAGTACAAACTTGATAGATTAATTTCAAGTTATTGAAATACCTCTTTTTACTTCAGCACATTTGTCTGCCCCACGGAAATCATTGCCTTCTCTGATCGCATTGCCGAGTTCCGGAAGATTAACACAGAGGTGATTGGCGTTAGTGTGGACTCGCACTTCACCCACTTGGCTTGGATCAATACACCGCGCAAGGAGGGCGGTTTGGGCAACGTGAAGATCCCCCTGCTTTCTGATTTGACGCACAAGATTAGCAAGGATTATGGTGTGTATCTGGAATCCAGTGGCCATGCCCTGCGTGGTCTCTTCATCATCGATCAGGCCGGTGTCCTGCGGCAGATAACGATGAACGATCTGCCCGTGGGCCGATCAGTGGATGAGACCATTCGATTGGTGCAAGCTTTCCAGTTTACGGATACCCACGGTGAGGTTTGTCCAGCGGGATGGCGGCCAGGAGCTGATACGGTAGGTTTTGTCTAAAAATTTCATCGAATAAAATCTAATCCTCCTTTTCATTCTTTTCCAGATCGTCCCAAATCCGGAGGAGAAAACCAAGTACTTTGCTAAGAATAACTAAGAGTTATCCAGCCATTTTGCAGCCCTCCGAGCCCAGTTACATTCCAGATGTTCGCCGACTGACACTTAAAAACCGAACAACAGGCCCCGTCACATCATCAGTCGTCGTCCTTTGTATATTTCACTTCTGTCATGACCCCGGAATATTCCCACTCGTTTTTGTACAAAATTTATAGGTTGTTTATTTTACAGCATAACAGAGATAAATAAATTGATGAAGTAAATAGTATTAAAGTGATGATAGAAATGCTTGGCGCCAACCAGGGCGTGATCAAAACTGTGGGAAATCGGATTGAACCGATCCCCCTCGAAATGCATCGAAAGAAACCCTCTTAGTGGGCCAAAAATATAAATGGTTTAACAATTCGATTGCGATTAGGTTCGTACAAAAATATATATATATGTATATGTTGTGTAAAATATGTATAATAGTAAATCATTAGTTAGGTACGCCATGGTTGCAGTTAAGTAGTCATTCCTGTGTGCTTCTACCTTTGGGTACAACAAAGCTAAGTATGTTGAGGTATATAAATTGGGGAAACGGGGGCGGGTCGACGACAATAACAACTAGGACGTCATAAGGCACTCGTTCTCGTCTGTTTCTTTTTCTTTACATGGATAGATAGTCTGTGTTTCTTGTGCGCGTTTTAAATGCCAAATTCAGGTATATAAAAAAGGAAAAGTGCCACTGCATATTCGATCATTTTTTGTGCGTAGAGATTCTGCGGTAGAGATTCCAAACCGATGAAAGCATTGCATTTCTCAGATTCCCGGAAACTTTGATCAAAAATAATGTTATGAAAAATAACCTTAAAGCTAAAGACGATGCAATATGTCGTTCCATTAAGCAGTCGGCGTTATAAGTGTCTTGTGTGTTGTTTTCTTCAAATGATAAATAGATTGATTGATCGTCCAGCTTATTGCTCATAATAGACCACGTCCTGGAAAATAAGATAAAAAGAAATTAGTGATGTAAACATGGAAATTGGCATACTATCAGCTCCATATATCCATCATCAAAGATTCAATACTTTTTCATTTTTATTATTACTCATTATTCCAAAACTCATATTTAGTTCTGATGTTGATATGATGATATACAGAAATGATGTATACTTCCTCAGATATATGTGCATATCTATATATTATACAGAAAATACTACTCACAATCAAAAAGAGAGCTGCGAATACGAGTGCCTTCATGCGCACATCCAAGTTCAGAGGGAACGTCACGCTGAAGTAGTCCGCATCGGTGAACAGCTCCCTGCCCAGGCCGGACCATTGTTTGGTTATTTTGCCGATCTCCTCATTATTGGCGCTCAATACCTACAAAAAAAAAAGGGGAGATATGTTTGTTGTTTATTTTTTTGCACTAATCGGGAATTCGCACACACACAACACCCAGGGAATTCGCAGTATCTGTATCTGAATTAATTGACTCGCTGTAGACAGTCAAGCATAGCGGCAACCATAGTGACGTCACTGTCTCGGACTGCAGTATCTGTTAGCTTGATATGTACCACACAATAGTGCTCACGAAAATAGGGATTCCTTTTTTTTAAATAAATATAAATTAACTTAAGAGTTTCACGAATCAAAACGATATGGTTGGGAGTATGAAAATTCGACAAACATTGATTAAAAAACTCAAATATATAAATTTGATTTAGTTGTCAGGTTAACAAAGCGAATAAGTATATAGCTTATGGAATACCTAATCTATTGACTGCCTGTGTCTATATACACTTGTTTGAAACTTAATCAATAAAAATATACATTTTTTCAAACACCAAAAGAACAATTAATGGCATTATTATTAGAAATGATTATAAAAGATAATGAATTAGACCACTGCATTAAGAGATATTTATAGGATGGCCTTTTAGGTTATCAGAATTTCCGCTATCTTTGCTTGAATATAATTATAAGCTCTTAACGTTTGCTATTCAACTAACCGGCCCTGTGTGTGTGTATATATACTTGGTTAAATATTTAAGCGGAATCAGAGGAATCGAGGAATTCCACCACGGCTACAGATGAATAACCACTTGTTGGCGACGCACTGACCTTGAAATTGGTATCACTGAAGCACTTGCAGGGGCAGAGGGGTCCCTCGATGTGCAGGACGGTGTCGCCGAACGAGTTCTTGATGTTAAACTTGGGTCGCATAAAGGTGCAGACCTGCTCCACCGTGCCGATCACCTGGCCGGGTGGCGCTGACACCTCCACGGCATTCTGGCAGCTTGGGAAGCAGCACAGGATGTCGCAGCGAAATGGACGGTTCAAATGGAGCACCTCATTCTGGAAATTGTCCAGAATCTTCATCTCAAAGGGACGCGACCGTCCAAGCATGTTCCTTGTGCAGCAGTCGCTCTCCTCGAAGGCAGAGTAGACGTTCTGCCCCAGCGAATTCTTCACCTTGAAGCGATTCTTCGTCTCGAAGCCGGTGAGCAGCTCGAGCTTCTCGATCTTCTGCGACACCAGCAGCTGGTCCAAGGCGGTCAGGTATTCCAAGCCCTGCGGGCAATTGGGCATGCCCACCGGTATTGACATCCAGTTTTCTGCAATTGAATTGGGCATAGTTTCCGATAAGAAATTTAGTATATATGTATACGCTATGCACTTTATATGTGATGGTATTTAGCATAAGTACAGTTGCGACTGGAATAATAGGGCATTTAATTGAAAATTTGTAGCTTTCAAACTTATTTTATAGAAATATATTACATTTTAAATATTTCACACACACAATATTGATAAATGAATATATCACTAAATTGAAACAATACTTATTATCCTTTGATGCTATTAACACATCCTCTGCTGTTCTTTTGCACACGCCCAAACAAACACACACAATTGCGCCCGTCTGTGTGTGGGAATTTATCCATATAAAGTGCGGGCTAAAACCCCCGCACAACTTTTTTTTCTCCATATGCATGGAAAGAATACCCACCAGCTCCGTTGGCAGCGACGCCACCGGCCACCGGCTGGCGCACGACGGTATCGTCCTGAGGTGCATCCTGTGGCACCTCCTTGTACTCCTTCATCTGCATCATTTTTGCCGATTCGCTTTGCGTCGCTTAACACAATTCTAGAAATATTTGCTATTGAGAATGTTTATATGCACTGAATAGTGCAGGCACTATCGTTACTATCGATGTCTGGATCGATTTCGTTTGCACTATCGATGTTTTGCAAAATGTTGTTTATTTTAAAAATATAACTATTATTATTATTTATTTGTTAAATTCATCTAGAGAGGATATATCAGAATTAGCAGGTTCAATTTACACTTCCGACTACTGGTGTTGATAATATATCAAACTATCAATAAATCGATATTTTTAGAAATGCATTTAACAGTGCGACCGTACGCTCCACCAAATGCAACCTACTATCGATATCGATATACCGACATCGATATTAGTTGTAGTGATAAGGGAGGCAATAAAAACGAACATAAAAATTTAACATGCTGCAAAGCAGCCGAATCTCGAGTGAAAATGAACGAATCTCATGATAAGACTAACAGTCCGAGCCGGGCCAGTTCCGCAGAGGAGGGCCACGACGTGAGCGACACCTTCTACACCAGCCAGCGGAAGGGCAGCCACGTATTTCGCGTCCGTTTGGACGCTACAGGATTCACGCTGCAGCGGGAGAGCCCCGGGGGAACTGTGATCAAAGAGCAGCATGTGCGGATTGGCGACATTGTCGGCGGGCGGTGTATGCGTCCCAAGAAGACGCGTCGTTTGGCCATGTCCGGTGCTTGTGCCTGCAGTTCGGGGAATCCCAATTCACCGGCAGTGTCCGCTTCCGGGGATCGCCCCGCAGCAGCCATCAACACGCCCAGTAAATGCAGCACCGCCAGCAAAGAGGATCATCCTCTCAGCGACGGCGATGTCAGCGCCTATTTATATGTCTTCGCCTATGTCCTTAAAAAGCGGAGTCTCCGTACGGAGCTACACAGGGAGCGAACGGTGCTCACACTGCGCTTTCGCTCCTTCGATACCTTTGAGGATAATATGCGGGAGGCGGACCGCTGGTATCGTGCCCTCCGCTGGCAGCTGCATCGCACCCTGGAGGACATATTTGTGGCACCAACGGCGGACGAGCGACGTCGCCGGGTTCTAGTGCTACTAAATCCCAAATCTGGATCGGGACGGGCACGCGAGGTCTTTAATATGCATGTGACACCGGTGCTGAACGAGGCGGAAGTGCCCTACGATCTGTACGTGACTAAACATTCCGATTTTGCCATCGAATTTATGAGCACACGCTGCCTGGACGCCTGGTGCTGCGTAGTGGCAGTCGGCGGCGATGGTCTCTTCCATGAGATCATTAATGGATTGCTACAGCGCGAAGACTGGGCCCATGTCTTGCCCGGACTGGCTCTTGGCATCATTCCCTGTGGTTCTGGAAATGGACTGGCCAGGTCCATAGCCCATGGCTATAAGTAGGTCAACCGAGACTAGTTTGTAATTGGATTTCGGTCTCTATTCGAATTTCACTTGGTTAGCGAATTGAGCAGGTTTTCCCAGTTTTTTACTGGATTTTTCCACCTAACGTTCTCATTTTCATATTTCTTAGTATTTGTTCAGTAAACATTTCAATGATATGTCAACAGGGTTTAATTTGAACGTAGACTACAATTACATTTCACGAAAGGGGAAATTTGACAAGCATAATTAACCTTTTGTGTGATTTAATACATATTGATAACCTTTAAATTATTTTATGGCAATCTTTAAAGCGTAGAAAATGATGAGAAATTCAAGACTGAACATGGGTACTCTAACAAATTAAATTTATAATTATTTCCCTAATTTCTTTAATAACCTATTTCTTTTATTCATCCCCAGCGAACCATACTTCAGTAAACCAGTACTAGGAGCTGCTCTCACCGTCATCAGCGGTCGCAGCTCCCCCATGGACGTGGTGCGTGTGCAGCTGCAGCAACGCTCCGTCTACTCCTTCCTTTCTATTGGCTGGGGCCTCATCTCAGATGTGGATATTGAGAGTGAACGCATCCGGATGCTGGGCTACCAGCGCTTCACCGTCTGGACCCTGTACCGTCTGGTGAACCTGCGCACCTACAATGGTCGTATCAGCTATCTTCTCACGGAACAGGACGATTCCCCTGTGCCGGGTTATGGCAATCAGCAGCATAGGATGCAGGGCAGTCGTAGCTGCAACACACACATTGACAAACTGGCACCGAGCTTACATCACTCCAGTACCGAGTACCTACCACAGGAATTTGCCGACGTGATCTCACTGGAAACGTCCATCAATCAGTCGTTTCGGTCACGCTGCGACAGCTGGCTGTCGGGAGGTTCGCGGCGTAGCTTTTACTATTCCATATCGGAGAGCATCTACCATAGTTTGGCGGACGAGAGCGAATTCGCTGGACAGGCGGCTGCCGCGCTGGAGAATCGGCAGCAGAACTTTGGGCCGACAAGCGAATTGCCGGACCTGGATGAACCACTGCCCGAGGATCAGGGCTGGCAGGTGGAGGAGGGCGAGTTCATTATGATGCATGCCGTCTACCAGACACATCTGGGCATCGACTGCCACTTTGCACCCAAGGCCCAGATGAACGATGGCACCATCTTCCTCATTCTCATTCGCGGTGGCATCAGCCGTCCGCACCTGCTGAGCTTCCTCTACAACATGAGCTCCGGTACCCATCTGCCGGAGGTGAACAACGAGTATGTGAAGGTGCTTAAGGTGCGAGCCTTTCGTCTGGAGCCGCACGACAATCAGGGCATCATCACTGTGGATGGGGAGCGAGTGGAGTTCGGACCACTGCAGGCCGAGGTCCTGCCGGGCATAGCCCGTGTCATGGTGCCCAAATAGTAGCCGGAGGAGGAGGAAAACCACGAAGCAATAGATAACTCAATTTATGAATCTCTGCATTTGTATCTGTAGCTAATACTTAGGGCCTAGAAAGCCGCCGTAAGAGTGAGTAAGAGTGTGCATTCTTCTAATTGTTTTTGTGGTGGAGTTCTTGCTTCTACCAATCAAATGGCGTATTGTTAACATTTTTAAAATCTAACTACAGTTATGAACGAAATATAAACGTGTATATAAGGAAATGTTAATTATTTATTCATAGCAATAAAATTTAAATTTAACTGTTATGAAGTTTAACGGTATATTCCTGGTATTTCCTCAGTTTAGTATTTAGTTTGTGGTATACTTTTGTTATGTTCGAGCAAACTGCCATTCGGTCACACTGGTCGGAAAAGTGAAGAAAATAAAAAACAAAACAGGCTGCGAAAAAAACATTTCAAACGCAAATTAATTGCCAAGCTAGCATTTAACAGCATTGTCAGCGCAATCCTTCCCCGAATCGAGGCTCTCGACTGAGGATAGATACGAGTTAAGCCATCAGAAACCACCTCAAGCGCTGCAATATGTCGTCCGAGGAGCTGGCGCCAATCAACGAGCAGGACCTCAAGGATCTGAAGGAGCGCATGAAATTGATTGTCGACGCTGATCCAAAGCAGTATCAAAATGAGTTTTCGCTACGCCGTTATCTGCGCGCATTCAAGACCACGGATGACGCATTCCAGGTGAGCCGCGAATCTGTCCAAATATGGAAATTTATGAAAAGCCAAAGCCCCGACTACGAGGTACCCGGTGGGTAAAACTGGGCACTTAAAAGATGTGTTGACCTACTAGAAAATGCGTTGTGAGCTTAATTTTAGGTTCTAAAACATTGAAGCCAATTATATACATATATGCTTAAATCATGAAAGAATTTTATAATTTAAAAAATTGTATATAAAATTCATAGTAATATAAGTCAAAGACCAAATTTGGATGCTTAATTTTATAGGGAACTAGAAAAGTAGTCTGCATTTCAAATTTCATACTTTTAGCTTTACTAGTTCCCAAGATCTGATAGGTTGACTCAGCTAATGAGGCTTATCGAGGGCTATGTGTACTGTCTATATGTATATATATTTTTTTTTTTGCACCAGTATCATATGTACACATATGTATGTATGTAATGTTGAATTTATGTCCCCCATAAAAAGCAAGCTTTTGAGGTCAAAGTTCTAATTATAAAAGATAATTTTGCGTTATAATGACCATTTAGTAAAGCCGCTTTAAATTGTTTTGTATATGATTCTGAGATATTTTTGCCTAAACTTTAGATACTTATAAACCTGTAACTTCTTTATCCCCTAGGCCATTCTGAAGACCAACAAATGGCGTGAAACCTATGGCGTGGATAAGCTGGTCGATATGGATCGCAGCCACATGGAGAAAAAGGCTCGAGTACTGCGCCACCGCGACTGCATCGGTCGTCCCGTTATCTATATTCCGGCCAAGAATCACAGCTCTGAGCGGGACATAGACGAGCTGACCCGCTTCATTGTGTACAATCTCGAGGAGGCATGCAAGAAGTGCTTCGAGGAGGTGACCGATCGCCTGTGCATCGTCTTCGATTTGGCCGAATTCAATACCAGCTGCATGGACTACCAGTTGGTGCAGAACCTCATCTGGCTGCTGGGCAAGCACTTCCCGGAGCGTCTGGGCGTCTGCTTGATTATCAACTCGCCGACACTGTTCTCCACCATTTGGCCGGCCATTCGTATTCTGTTGGACGATAATACCGCCAAGAAGGTCAAGTTTGTGGCCGATGAGGTGGAGCTGTGCCAGTATCTCATCCCAGACATTCTGCCAACGGATATGTAAGGCATGGATCAGGGATCAGGTGTCACTTAGTCTTAGACATATCTCCAAAAAAAAAACAGACCCGAATCCAGTACCGAAGACACGCAGCTTCTGAGAGAGCTTCTTACCCCCCCAGTACAGTACTCGTCATATGTGTAAATCGTAAATCGATGTGTTAAACAAGTTGATTGTAAAATGTATTTATTCGACACAACACTATTAGTACAATGGCAAACTATTTTAGATAAAGGTTTATCTTGTTTATGACAAGTGTCTAGAATCTACTATATACCTGAATTCGTACCTATATACCATATACTATATATATATGAATGTATTTATGTATATGCAAGTGTCTATGTGTACAGCAAATAAAGTTGTAAAAGAAAAGCTTTAAAGATTAACGCCGATGATGTACGGCACACGTGAATAATCATCACCTGTGTGTAGCGCCGGGTCGATAGTGCTCTATATTTAGTTGGCTTATCAGCATGTTTTGCGATAAGAATCATAACGGGCCTGTGCCTAAAATGTTATTTTTGTTTTTGCCTCGCTGATTTCAAATTTTCGCACCGATTAGGGTTGTCGCTGCGATAACAATCGCTTGTGCGATTTTCAGGTTATCAATACTGTTTTGGGTTTTGCAGTTTGGCTTGTTTATCGCTAAAACTAAATAACTGAATTAAGTCTACAAGAATAATATAACAAAATAAAGCATTAGTTTTAAAATACAATAACGAATTTGAATAATTTCTAATTAATTAAATTTCAAAGTTTCCGGCTTATGAAACCGATAAAGGTTTTTAGTTTTCCCTAGTTTCTAGCTAGTTTCAAGCTAAGTAATCGAAGCCTCCCCCGCAAGCAGGCGACAACCCTGGCTCACAACTGGTTATCATCTGGACGCGAAACACAAAAGCAAAAGTCGAGCACTTCTTGATAAGGAAATCTGAAGCCCGCACTATGAGACCTCGACGCAGCAATAACAATAACAATAACAGTTGCAATAACACCAGCAGCGAAATGGATAAGTCGATCCGCCAGTTGCGAGCGTCCAAATATCAGTGATCGACGAAGCGTGCGCTGCGAAACATGTCGTCGGCGCCTACAGAAGCAATGGCCGCACGGAAGGATGCCCAGGATGTGGGGGCAGCAGGTGCGGCGGTTCACGGGGAGGCGACTGGCGGCGGAGGAGGAGGAGGAGCCTTTATTGCCGCCCTGGACGTTGGCACCACCTGTGTGCGTTGCTTCATTCTGGACGAAGGCTGTGTGGTGCGGGGTTCAGCAGTGGATGCCGTAAGTGGTGCTTCGCTCACTTAAACCGCGGGTGCAAAGTTAATTGGCTAAATAAGTTTTAACGTTTTATGACCTTTGGTGTAATTATAGGTGAGGCTGCTGAATCCACAGCCGGGCTTTTTCGAGATTGAGCCAGAGAGCTTGTGGCGCAAGATCGTCAATGTGATAAGGCAGGCTGTGCGGGGTGAGTATCGGGGTGGCATTAGAGGAACCCATAAAAGCGTGAGCGGTGAATTAATAAACAATTTAATGTATTTTGTAACAAGCTAAGGGAATGAAATGCAACAAAAAAAGCAAAGAAAAGTCCCAATCAGAGGGAGTGGTGTTTAGCTTGAGTTATATTTTATTTATTTGTATTTAGGTTTCCCATCAGGGAGTGGTGTTTAGCTTGAGTTATTTATAGGTTCTCAGTGTATTTTACCTATCTAATAATACCCTTCATTCTCCACAGATGCCAAACTGACACCCGGCGACATCACCTGCCTAACCATCTCCACCCAGCGCTGTACCTTTCTCACCTGGGATCATCGCACTGGCGATTACTATCATAATTTCATCACCTGGAAGGATCTGCGGGCTGATAAACTCGTAGATGAGTGGAACTCCAGTTGGACGAAGCGTTCAATGAATGGATTTTCCTATGCCTTGTACCTGCTCACGGGTCAGTCGCGTTTCCTGGCCGGCAGCGTGCTCAAGCTGATGAATGGCCAGGTGACACCCAGATTACTCTACGAAATTAAGCACAACAAAAGACTGCGTGAAGGGTTGAGCAAGAAAAGGGCTCGCGTGGAGCTGCTGGACTCTTGGATTCTGCACAAGCTGAGAGTCGGAAACGGACAAGACAGGGATGTAGATGTGGAGCATATAACCGATGTTACCTCCAGTACAGCGACGGGATTGTATGATCCTTTTACGCTCAGCTGGTCACCGCTTATAAGTTTTCTTTTTGGAATCGATGTGAGTGATGGGATTTCTTAGAATTTTAATTTGTGTTATAACAATTTATTTCATTTCTTTTAGACCAAAATCCTGCCTCGTGTGGTGGACAATGGCTATAAGGGCTTTGGCCACGTCCATCCTACTGCTTTTGGTCCTGAGTGGGCCGACACTAAGATCCCCATTGCTGCCTCACTCAGTGACCAAACGGCTGCAATGTGGGGATCACAGTGCTTCAAGAAGAACGATGTTAAGGTCACCATGGGCACCGGTGCTTTCCTTAACCTGGTTACGGGTCCAAAGTGTCATGCTGCCGTCACTGGGTTGTATCCTTTGGTGGCTTGGCAGCTCAAGGACAAGGAACGCCATGAGAAAGCCATCTATTGCATAGAGGGAGCATCACATGACTTTGGCACTGTGGTCACCTGGGCTCAGTCCTGTGAGCTTTTCGAGAATCCAGCGGATACGGCGGCCATAGCAGAGTCTGTCTCTGATACCAGCGATGTGTTCTTTATGCCTGCTTTTAGCGGTCTGGGGGTGAGTTCCAAATAGTTTCCAGTTTCGAGATTAGAGCCTAATCCCCATCTTATCTTTTGACAGCCCCCGGTGAATGATTATCGATCAGCAAGTGGCTTCATTGGCCTTACTCCGTCCACGACCAAGGCGCACATGGTGCGGGCCTTGCTCGAAAGTATTGTATTTCGTTTGGTCCAACTGATTGAGGCGGCCGAAGAGGAGACCTCGCAGAAGCTTGAGATAATTAGGTATGCTCTCAGCAAGCTCTCTCTTAGAGGAAACTATTGAGTATTAATTCCTCTCCCCTTTCAGAGTTGATGGTGGCGTTTCTCGCAATGATTTCGTCTGCCAGTTTCTGGCTGATCTCAGTCAGCTTAGGGTGGAGCGGGCTAAGAACTCGGAGAGCAGCATTATGGGCGCCACCTTTATGGCGGGCTTGAACCATGGCATCTGGCGGAATGTGGAGGATCTCAAGTGTTTCCGGCAGGTTGACCGGGTCTTTGAGCCCCGACCCAAGGAGCATGCAAAGATAGTGGCTCGCATGGACAAGTGGAGTCGGGCCATAGCCCGTTTCAGTGACTGGTACTAGTTTTCATACTTTCCTTTTGTATTTTCTTGTTGTTTTTTTTACACGCTAAGAAGTCATTAAATACTTAGAAGGCTAAGGTTATTGGAGTGGTGGAAAAAAATGCTGCCTTATTCAGTCTTGCTCAGTTGAAGCGTTGCTGGAAATTCTGTTGCTGGTTGAACATCATCTGTTGTTGCTGCTGCTGCTGTTGTTGTTGTTGCTGCTGCTGTTGTTGCTGTTGCTGCTGCGCCTGCTGCTGTTGCTGTTGGTGGTGGAAGTCCTGCTGCTGGCCAGCACCGGACAACCGAACGCGCTTGGCATTCGGTTCGGAGTTCATTTGCTGCTGCTGCTGTTGTTGCTGCTGCTGCTGTTGCTGTTGCTGCTGCTGCTGTTGTTGCTGTTGCTGCTGCTGACGCTTATTGTCCGACTTATCCTCCTGATCATCGTCTGTAAGGAACTCCCGCTTGGGATACGGTATGGGGCAGCCGGCGAACACATCCTGTGTTGGCAGCGGCTCCTCCTGGAAGTACTGGTCCTGCATGGCCTGTTCCGAGGTGATGCGCTTGTTGGGATCCATCAGCAGTAGCTTCTGCAGCAGGTGGAAGGCCTTGCTGTCGGGCTTAATCTTATGGCGCTCCATATACTTGGCCAGCGAGCAGGTGGAGTAGGTCGTGCGCTTAAAGTCCTTGGTCAACGTGTGGTGCTCCGGCATCTTCTTGATATCCTCCCAATCCTTATCCTGGGGAAAGCCCATCACATTGAAGATGCGGTCCAACTGATCGTGATGATACGGATTACTCGTCTTGATGTCCTCCTGCCGGCAATGGAATATCGGCTCCGAGGTGAGCAGCTCGGCAAAGATGCAGCCAATAGCCCAGATATCGATAGCCTTGGTGTAGTGGCGAGCGCCTAGCAGCAGCTCCGGGGCTCGATACCAAAATGTGACCACCACGGGATCCAAATCTGCCAGCGGCTTCAGCGGTGCATTGAAGAGACGTGCAAATCCCATGTCTGCGATCTTAACACGTCCGCGCTCATTGCCATCGCCCATCACCAGGATATTGGCAGGCTTCAGATCACGATGCAGCACCCAGTTGCTGTGCAGATAGTGGATGCCGTCAAGGATCTGGTAGAGAAGGCTCTTCACCATGCCGCGCGGCACTACCACCTGCTTTTTGGTAGCCTTTGCCGCTCGATGGAACTTAATGATGTGCCACAAGTCGTGCTCCGCATAATCGATCAACAGGAACACCTTACGGTCGTTGTGCGAGAGGAAAACCCGGATGAGTGTGATTACATTCTGGTGCTTGAGTTCTCGCAGCAGGGCAATCTCGCGACAAGCGGACATGGACAACCCGGTGCCGTCGATCTGCTTCAGCGCATACTCCTTTCCATCGCTGTGGGATTAGAAATAAGCATTAGTTTTTGGTTTTCATTGCAAGATGCCGTGACTCACCTCGTCTCCTTCCACTTGGCCTTGTATACGTGGCCGTAAGTGCCGCGTCCTACCTTGCAGCCCTCGTAGTTGAAGAGGTCCTCTACCTTGGTCCTCTCCATCTGCGTTTTCATCTTAAAATCGTAGTCCATTTTATATTTTCTTTAAACTTTGCCAATTTCCGAAGTTTGTTTGTAAATTTTGCTGCCGCCTCGTCAGCTGTTTGCCGATAACAAAGCGATGACACCGGCAATCGAAATAAATGAGCGCCACTATCGTACCAAGTGCACGAATAAGGTCTTCCACTAGACCAGTTTTGAATTGACCATCACTAATATAGAAAAATTTAATCCAATGACCGGTGGAAAACTAAAAAAAGAAATTAATCAAACCTTAGAAAATTAAATATAAAAATTACTGAATAAATTATGAATTTAATATAAAACCTTAGTAAGCGTTGTTTCTTTTTTTCCCCTTATTTATTTCTTCAACAGCTCAAAAACAAATCCCAAATACTTAGCTAGTCTAGATTTAGCTATAGTCTTTTGGCTTTTTTCTAGCTATCTTTAAAAGCTTCTAAAGCTTTTCGTTGACCCGAGCAGTTGGCAGCTCGGTATGTAAGTTTACTCATGTTTTGGTTCGTCGGGCGTTCGCACATGCGCGCGCACAGTTATTTATTCCGATCGTGACCGTCTTCTCCATTTCCCTCTCGCGCTAATCAGTCGGGGATCTGCGTACTTTGCGGCTAATTTTCAAATTAAACAAAACGAAAATAAAAAACAAAACCACGAAATCAAGCAAATAATTGTGTAATTAAAGTTAAATGTAAGAAAGAAGTGCTTTGTGTGTTTTGTGTAACGGTGAGCCAAGTGAAGTTCGGTCCAATAAAAATGAAGTGTTTGCGGCAAAAAAGTGTTCCACTAAATTGATAATGGCATAGTTTTGAAAAGCTTAAGAGCATATGGTTGCGATTAACTGACCGATTAGAGATTTAATGCGACAGGCAGGAAGCAAATATCGAAAAGTCATTCAAGTTGCTGGAATTTAATTGCAATATTTCCAATGAGCGGAAAAGAAAGTTTTGATTTAGGAGAATTGGAAAGAGATAACACCTAAAGAAATTACGCGGGAAATTAATTATAAAATTAATGAATTGAGTTACAACTATATTTTGTTAAAGAAAATTAAGTGATAAGAGGAAATCATAAATAAATTTAAATCAATAAACAACGAAAGAAAATTGCAAATTAAAAATAAAAAATAGTTAACGTATAGATTTTCATCACATATCGTAATTTATATGATCTCATTGGATTATCATATATTTATTAGCGTCAAATGACATCAACTAAAGAGGAAACTATTTATCAATTGTTGATCTAACCCTATTATTTATAATGCACATTTTTGCCTTAAAGTTTCCCTTTTAATATTTATACTGCAAATTCCTCAACTTATTTATAAATTATTACCAATTATTGCCATTGAACAACCATAAAATAACTATAGGTGAATGCAAAGATTTATTTGTTGCTTAATTAACTTTCAGGGGATATTAATAGAGTTTTAATAGAGTTTCCCACTATGTAAAAATTTCATTGAACTTTTGAAATAACCAGTGGCATCAAAAAAATAAAAAGAAACTAATGGAAAAAAAATCCAATCAACACCAGTTGCGACTAGTTACCCGTTGCAAAAAAAAGGAAATAAAAAATTGGCAACTTCCTTCAATTGGGCGCCAAGTCATTAGCTGCCCCCCAACTCCTGGCCTCCCCGTCTTTCCCCCTCCCTAGGAGCCCACCTCGAAGTACCGCTATGACTAGACAGGCCTTGTCCACATATTTCTTTATTTTTCTGCTTTTTTTGTCTTATTTATTTTTTTTCGTATGCAACCATTAGCCGCTGCATCAACAAACGAGACGCCACACACACACACACACACACACACACACACTTACTAAGTAAATCTTGGGAGACACACACAGATACACGCAGGTGGATCGCGGGGAAGAGGTGAAGGGGAAAGGGACCTGGTGACGTTTGCTCTGGGGCCCCTTCACTTTTTTTGTTGTTGCACTGCAAGAAATGTTATATATATTTATATAAAAAAATATATAAATTTCTTCCTTGAATTTATATTGGTGATCACTTTCTCAATCTTTAGTTAAGAAGCAATTAGCTTAACTCTTAGTCTAATTTAATAAGCAGGTAAATTGACAGTGTTTTTTTAATTCCTTCTTTAATCTAAACATCTTCTTTATATTTTTTTAGATAGCCAACAAAATTAGTATATCTTTACTTAACAGTTATCTGTTTGATAAATATATATATGTTTGATAAATTATATTAAAAAATAAGAAATTATATTTGTTATCATAATTTTTTATTTAGTTTCACTTAAAAGATAAACAATATTGAATTGAAAACAAATATCACATTTTATATCTTCAAATATTCCTCTGATTGAGGTAGAATATTCAAACATATATTCAAAATTTTAAATATTGTTTATTTATTAAAGTTAACAGCAGCTTAGTCTTAACAGGACTTTGAATAAATTACATTAGGAAAATAAATAAAACAGAAAGTGGGAAAGTGAGCTTAATTAACCAGACATAAACAAAAATAGGCCCTTGGAAAACTAAAAAAGAAGAGGAAAATGTCAACATTATTACTTTATTTTTAGAATGCAATTTCCTAATTAATTTCCCAATTAATTAAAGAAGCACTTTCTGATTTATCTCAGTGTATTTGTCGTTTGTATTTTTTTTTCGTGGTCGGATGAAAAAGTTGCCGCAGCAAGTGCAATTCGCGATTCGCATTCCGCTGGCCGAAAGTATCTTTGGAGTTTTGCATCTTGTGGATGTCTGCGGTGCTTAACTGTAAATTGAGGCATGTGCCTCTCTCCTGCTCCTGCCATCTTTCTCCCCGTCTCTGTGCTCTGAGCAGCAGCTCCGGCGCTCTCTTTTGTTTGTCAAGTTCAATGTGCGTTGACAATTTTCCCCATTTCCCCAATCCAAATGGGCGACGTTTTCCACATTGATTGTGTGCGTACTTCTTGCACTTGGTGCCTCATTGTGCTTGTGCAACTGTGCGTGTATTTTAATTTATTTTAAATCGAATGGCAATTTAAATTGAAAGCAAAAGGTAGTGATTCAACCCGGAACTTGGAGAGTGTGTAAGGTATCTCTATATCAATGTATCTACGTATCTTTGTATCTACGTATCGCAGCAAACGCAATGCATAAATCAGCCAAGGAAAAGAAAGAAGAAAAATCTTTACTTCGCTTTTTTTTTGTTAGTTTTTGTGAAAGCGCAAGTCGTTTTGGCTTTACTGTGTAGCGTAATTTTTACACTTTTACCAAAGAGAAAGAAGACAGAAAGATACATAGATACATCACTCTTTACATACGCTGCACGCTGCTCATAAGCATCTTTTCTCTATTACCAACCATTCGTCGCTGTTTTGTCTTTAAGCCGCTTAATTGAAAGTCTCGACTTGACTTATGACTTTAAAGAAAAGCTAAAAAAAACACAGGCTGGCTTTTCCAGAGAAATGATGTAGAAAATTTGAGTAACTTATTATAGATACGAGAGGAGACTCTTAAGCTTTCGAAACATGTTTTAAACCCATCGTTTTCTACAGTTTCTTCTAGTGCAATAAATATTTAAATAAAACGTAACTAAAGTGTTTAACAAAATATGCCAGAAAAGGTAATAAATAGTGTTTAGCAAATGTTTAGATTTGCAAATAAAAAGTGCATGTGCTCAAAAGTTAACAACCAGAAAAAAAAAACCGACAACAGACAAGCTGCTAAATAAGGTAAGCCGAAATTAATTTTAATATTCTATTCCCCAGTTTAGTCTTTATTTATATTTGTTTATTTTTTTGCATATCCATTTGTTAACTCGTTTGCGATGTCTATTAACGGCATTCAGAGCTCTGGGCTGTGAGCTCATCTCTCGCATCTCAATGATATTCATTCTGATTTTAGATCAAAAACTTGTTCGTTTGCTGATTCACATTTTTCACAGCTACGTTTTTGGCCCTGTTTATTTACAGTATTACAGTTGCTATATTGTTTAACTTTTGCATATATAGTTAAATATATATCTTGACAGGCACGTTTAAATATTTAATCAGTTAACTGTCTCAGTTTTGCTTTCCAAATCGCTGCACATCTTTAAACGCCCGCACCTGTTGTCAGGCCCAATGTCAAGGTTGCCTTTGTTGTCTTGCTTTAAACATTTTATGGTTTCAGAGTTAAATACAAAAAAAAATATATAAATATAAATAAATAAAAGATAAAATACATTGTAAAATGCCAGAGTAGCCGGCTTATTGCCAATTGTCTGCCACTAATTGAAGCTCAACACTTCTCAAGTGGAACGAACGCCCCGTCTTTGTGTATCTCTATCTTTTTATTTTATTTTATTGTATAATTTGTAATTGCTTCATTTTTCGGACAAGCCAAAAGAGATATTTTACAAAAATAAATTAAGTGTGGCAAGCAATTAGTTGAGTTTTAAGTTGGCTATTTACAAAACGTAGGCAGATTAATGGCCGTCCAAGAAAAAGATTGGGACGTTGAACGTGATGTGGATGTGAGATCTTGATGGATAATGAAGATTTTTTTTAAAAGCTTAAAGCAGGTAGATAATAGGGAATTTATGCTATTTTTCTGTGGATTATTCTTGTAGGTTTTTTTTTAGTAAAGAGAGCAATAAATATGCCTTAATTTCTGGTAGTTTTGTAACTTTTAAAAATGGGTAAATAATTGTATTACTTTTTGTGAGTTATTAAAAGCTTCTTTAAAATAAATACTTTAAAGATTCTTTCTACAAAATACAGTCTTGGAAATTATTTTTACGAAATAAATGAATTTGTATTATGGAATTTATTTGTAGTTACTTCAAAAAAGTTTGACATCTTTGTTCAAACATATTTTTGTCTCTTTCCAATATTTTAGAATTGTGTTTCGATTAAGGAAATTTCTGCTTATATACCATTTTTGTAATCCAAATATTAAAACATAATAATTCAGTTGAACAAAGCTAAATTTAAAAAATTTAATATCATTAATATTCTATCTATAAATAAAGACTTGAAAATAATTTTTTTTTCAAGTAGAATTACAAAATACGTTTGTGGTTCCCACAAAAGTTTATCAAAAATAGTTACAAAAATATTTTTAAGAGTCACTTTTCCAAATTTAACCATTTTTTTTTTAAATATACACCTGCTAATACCCATATTTTTTTACCAAAATTATACTATTTTAATTAAGTTAAATGCAGCATCATATCTCAAGGTTATGATTAAGTATCCATAATTGTGTCAAACGCATCTATCAACATCTGTTGGCACCGCCAGACTTTAACATATTATTAGCCATATAAATATCTACGAAATTGTTGGTCAATTAATAAGCCATTAGGGCAAATCTTTGGTAACAGCTTTAAGCAAAAAATCGAGAAGTCTAGCTAGTTTATCAATACCGTTCACTATTCTTTTGGGTTTCTTTTTTTTGTATTTTTCTAAGAATTTTTTTTTTGCCCCAGAGTCGAGATGAAAACCCGTTAAGCATTTCACCTGGAGCAAAAAGAGAAAAAAGAACGATCATAAATTTAACTTTTTAATGTTAATAAAACATTTTTACGAGTCTTTTATGTGTGAAAATTACGCAGAAGGGCATCCAAATAAACGAGACCACGAGCTGTGAAACAGTTATCCACCTGGCACCTGGTGTAAAAGCCAAGTTAATATAATACGTAATTACGGGAGTCTTAGCCCGAACATACCTTACATTTTTCTACAACTCTCTTTGGAGTTTACTTCCTAAGTACACAGGCAGAAAAAATACCTGAAACTATTTAAATATCCATAAATATAGTACATAAATAGTTGGTATTAAAAGTGAGAAGAGTTAGGAGCTTTAGAAAATGATTTTCTCAAGTGCAGCTCTTACCTGCGGATCATGACTTGGAGAAATGTGTGACTTTGGTGTGAGGTGACACCGGCGGTGAAAGAGAGAGAAACTAAACCGAAACTACTGAATAACAAGTGTAGAACAATAAGACGGCCAAGACGGTAGAAAACTGGCCAAGTAGCTGGAACGCCACACTCAGGTCACTGAACTTGGCCGGACGATGGGACGCCTTAAATATATATATTTTACACCAAGGCATTAACAAAAGCCAAGTTCCCCTTCTCAGAGCCATAATAGAGCAGCAGAAATAATGTTGGTCAGTCTTAGAATGTCTTTTATTTATGTTGGCCAAAAAGTAATGCTTGGTAGATCATAAAACTTGCTAATATGGTTAATTTTAGATGCGGATTTTTCCGTTTATTATGTCACATGCCTAATTGTGGGTGTGAATTTGGGAACCAGTTCTGGGAATGAGTCACAGGTTATGGATAGGTATTTATTTTGCAAAAGGATTGATTTCAGTTCGAGTTTTAATTTTTGTAGTATTTATTGTGACAAGAACACTTTGCAAAACCTTTATTTATATATTTTGCTTGGAACCATAAATTAGTCTTTTTGTTAATTCACATTAATTGTGATTTAATTTGTTTTTAGGAAATGAATCTTTTTAAAAATCGATCATTGAAGCTGAATTAAATGTTATTCATAATTAAAAATAAGGTAAAAATCCATATTCTGTTGCTATATCAATTATGTTGTAAAATTAAATATATAAAATATCAATAATAATAATAATATTGATACCCTTGCAAAATATTACTATTATTTTATTCCGAGGCTTGTTAGACAGGGAAGGAATCATTTCCGACCCTATAAATCATATATATTCTTGATCAGCATCAACAGCCGATTTGATCTAGCCATGTTTGGCGTAAACAAAATTTTTGAAAATTTTTGTTGAAAAATTTTATACATTTTTTACATAATTTAAGGATGAAAAATTCGAAAAAAATTAAAAAGTTTTTTTTTGTTAAATTTAGTATGCAGATTTGTTAAACTAATAAAAACTAACACAGAACGATTGAAAATTAAGGGATTTTTGACGGAGTTATGATATATTTTTATTTTAAGAGTATAGAAATTAATGTTTCCCAAAGTAACCTCCTTTATTAAAGAAAGATTTAAGTATATATTTTTTTATTATTGTGCAATGCCAAACTACATTAATGGCACATGGAAATATAGAATTCGTGAATTGAATTAAGCTATTTAATTATTACATGGGAATTTTTATCTTCAAGAATGTGAATAGGTTTTAGGGGAAAAGGGAAAAGATATCTCTTTCATATTGCTCTAAATATATCTTCTCTATTTTCTTAATTGATGGAATTTTTAAAAAATTTTGGTGTGGTCTCAGATTTTGTATAAACTTTTTGTTGTTCAACATTGACTTTAATCCGCTTTTGCTGTATCTGTATCTTTTGCTTTGGATCCTATTCCGGCATTTTAGAACGCTCCCGAACAAATTGCGTTATAATTGATGACACTCTGTGAAATTGCTCTGTCTCTCTTTTGCCGGCGTTGAATGTCCGGCTTTTAACCGCTGCCAATAACTGTAACCAACTTGACGAACCTCATTCCCATTAGCGGCAAATGCTCAACCACTTGCTTTGACCCACTCTGGAGCATCCAGATGGGAACCAGATGCCATGTCATCAGACGACGATATGGTTAATCGTCCGATGTTCTCATTACGCCGCCATTTCCGCACCTACTTAGCCGTGTGTTGGGATGTGTGTGTGTAATCCCTATTGACCTCCATTTCCGTGTGTTGGCCAACACACAACTGGTAATGCATCCCATCCATTCTCCTACTCCGAAACCCTTCTTCCTATGGATGCAACATATACATCCATTGCCCAGTTGGCCTTTTCATTAGCTTCAGTTTCAATTTGCTATTTGCTGCATTTTACGATTTACGCTCAGAGCTCTGTTTCGTTTCTTGGCTCGCTTTTTTTCTCCTACCATTTCAGGCTTGGTGTTGTTTGGGCCAAGAAAAAAAAATAGAAAAAAAAAATTAAACTTGTTTATGGCTCCTACAAGAATGTGGAAAGCAAAAAAGCCAAAACGATACGAAACGAAGAGAAGACAAAAAAAGAAGTAAACAAAACTGGGTTAAAATTGTTAGACAACCTGAAGTTGCAGTTTGCCGTTTCTGAAATATTGCATAGCTCGGGGGTTTGCTATTGAGTCTGCTCCCAAGAGCGAAAAATACTAAATACAATAAAAAAATAAATAAAAAATGGAAAAACTCTGATGTAAAGTGTGTGTGTTTGAGTGCTAAATAGAATGGAATGGATTGGAATGTCTGCTGGTTATGGGAAGAACCCGATCAAGTAAGGTGTTCTCCAAGTTTAATTGACCAAAACTGATTTTAAGTGAGTTGAAAATTTCAATGGGGAACTAATTAAAATTGAAGACGATTTAGAGAGGGAATATAAAGAGGTATCTGGAGATTAAATGGTTTTAGGAAAGGTGTTCTATGATGATTGATTAAATAATAAAGCTTCACCTTTATATCTTTATTAATTTTGGAGAAAGCAAGTCGTTTAAATTATCAAAAATAAATACCATTAATTTATTAGTACTTAAAAATTATTATACAATTAAATATTGTTTTGTTTGTATACAAAAAATATTATTATAATATTTTTGTATTACTAAGTAAAAGCAATTTGTAAAGTTTTCATGTATAATAATACCTTCTTTGCTCTTAATAAAATTATGTTACCTGTTAATCACTTATCACTATGGATATATTTAAATAATGAATTTCCTATTACCTTCTTTAAATAATTATAAGTTGTACTTATTCTTGTTCTCTATTAAGTACAGCATTTAATTTATAAAGTGTGTCACAACTATAATTAATATAAAAGGCATGACTAAATGATTAGGTTTGCGCTAAACAATTTAAGCATTAAATGTTTTCAATTAAAATATAATTTTTGTTTATAGTTATAAATTAATAACCAATATTTCAATTTGATTTAAAAATGTAAATTTTGTGCTTTGAAGTTTTACTTTTATACCCTTGCAAAGGTATTATAATTTTAGTCAGAATCTTAAAACTCTGTGAAGGAGTTATTTCCGACCCTATAAATCATATATATTCTTGATCAGCATTAAAAGCCGAGTCGATCTAGCTATCTTCGAAGGAAAACAACATTTTCAAATTTTTTCAAAATTTTTCCAATTTATATATTGGGGAAAAAAATTGGAAAAAAATTTAATTTTTTTATTTTTCAAATTGAGTATGCAGATTTATTAATCAAATAAAAACTAACATTGGACAGCTTTCCGATTTAAAATAAACGCTTTTTTGACTTAGTTATGAGTTATTTAACAGTTTAATTTTTGCTAAAATTGTCATATAAAAATATCAACAAATATTTATTTTAATAATTCGAATATTTTAGGCTTAGTTATGATTGATTTCCTAACCATTCAATTGCAAACTTCGGCTTCGTAAAATTAGTTCTCTTTAATTTTATAAAAAAATACTTTAATATAGTCATAAAATCCTGTCTGAGAATTATTTAACTAGTTAATCCATAAAATGCTGCCTTGAAAACATAAGAGCTTCAAATTTAACTTTAAAATTTAATTAAACAGTTATAATAACTATAAAAATAAACTAAAATAAATTTTTAAATATATTTAAAAATATATTTTAGCAACTCCCTCGTAAACCTCCCTTTTATATTTTTTTTTGCCATGATTCGTGCTGGTTTGCATTGACTTTTGTTTTGTTTGGCTTTTGCGGTGCCACTGCACTTGCGCAAAAGCTTAAACAAAACACCGAAACCCTACAAGAGTTATATTAACCCGAAACAGAAAACCCGTCTTGGGTATGGTCAGTAATGAAATAAAGCTGAATTGAGCCAACTTATTGGCGGCTACTTAGTATGCCCGGCCCGAGTTCGACACTCTAAAAAAAAAAACGAAGAAAAAAAGGCAACATTCGGTTTCAAATTGGATTGTTGGTGGCTTATTAATTACCTCACAACCACACAATTGCGTGGCACATACATACAAAACACCCACTAGAAGGATGGAGGGGTTTTCCAGTGAGTTTTCAGGGGGTTTTCACGGGGGTTTCGTAGCTTTGTGTGTAGAACCCACAAAAGGCGTTGGACAGTGGCGAGTAATACGAGTAATCCGAAAATGGAGCCCCTTTCGGACGATGAAGTCAACAGCCTGAACTCGTTTTGAAATTTAATTTTATCTCTCTCTCTCTCGAATTCATTTATTATTTAAATTGAAATTGTGATTCGCCTTTTGATTTTCCATATCCGAATGAAGAGCTCAAGAAAATTGAGAGTGACTTTGTTGATTTGTTGTACAATTTCATTTTTATTTTTTGCAAACTCGTTTTTGCATATTTCTCTGTCGTTTTGCTGTTGGTTACTTTCAAATGTCAAACGAAGTTGAAGGTGGTCCACAATGATATTTGATTTTTTCCTCAGCTATTCGTATATAATATGATTTATATTGAGTCATGTTGGAAATGAACGCAGCAGCACCAGGAGCCTTGAGAAGAAACAAAAGACTTGAGCAACAAACTTGTTTTCTGGTTTTGTTTTTTACTATTTTTTTTTAAATACTTAAAATACCTATAAAAATAAGATAATAATAGAGTGGCAAGAAGGTGAAGGAACTGATATTTAAAAGAGTATATAAATAATTTAACTAAATATTTCATATATACTCTTCCCCCATTAAAATCCATAGAAGATGTCTGGTGAAAACTTTGCAAAATTCACCTCCCCAAAAAAATGCATATTAAAAACGCATTAAAATGTTCAACTTGGGCCATTTATCATACCTTCACTTAGCGAATTCAATTAAATTCAATGCACGATGCGCCTGAAAATCCACAGATGGCAAAACAATTCCAAATGCGATTCCGAAAAGTCATAAGCAAAATCGTGTCCCGTCTCGGGTGAAACTTAATGAAGCCTTGAGAAAGTTGCTCAAGGCATCCTCTCCTCAGGTGACAATCATTAAAATAAAGCAACAAAATAGCTGGTTAACAAAATACAATAACCACAAACAAAACTGAAAAACTGCAGCATTAAAAAAATATGCGATAATTGCTAACAAATTTGTACGACAAGCGGCATGCCAAACATGCAACAAAACAAAAGCCACAAACGCTTAAGACTAACTAACTGATTGCATTTTTATTTATTTATTTTTTCGGCCAAGACTTAAGAACTCTTGTTTTAAGCCAAGTCCAGCTTAAGGCAACATTTCCCCCTTGTCTTGCCTTAACTTCTGGTCTTAACCTGGTCTGTGGAGTGTTGTTGCTGTTGCATCTTCTCGGTTTCTGCAATGACCCAGTTTTATGCAAGTGGAACGCTTTTGACCAACAACTGCAACACGGCAGACAGCTATTGACCATAAATAGTAAGCCGGAGGAGTGAAATAGGAGAGAATACCGTTCGAAAAATATTAAAGTTTTAATAGCAGTGTATTATGAAATGGGCGGTAAAGATTTTAAGAGGTTTTTTGCTTGGAATTTGAATTTAAAAGTGGTTTTTAATTGCTTTTTAGAGGGTATATTTAATTTATGGAATTTCAGCTATTAGTTCTATGCTTAAAATACATAAGAAACTAATTATTAAATATATAAAAATTTAATTAGATTTGTAAGAGTTTTTGGTTTTCAATTAAAACGGAAAAGTAACTAATAACTAATAAAATAAATGCTTTAAAGATGGAGTATTTAATTTAAAGAATTTTATCTGTTAGTTTCTTATATGCAATTAGCTTAATTAAATTAAAATATATTTGAAACTAATTATAAAATAAATATATAAATTTAATTAGAGGTTTTTTCTCGAAAAAATGAGGATTTCATTTAAAGAATTTTACCTGTATATGTATCTAGCTTAGTTAATTGATTAAAATATATTTATAATAATATAATATTGAAGCAGATTTTTAGAATTGAACTACAATTATATTTTCAATAAAATTTTATTTAAAAAATCGGCAAATTATTGTTTTGCTATAATAACTTGTTACCAGTAATTATTGTTCAAGTTTTATACGAAAAATATATGTTATGTTATATATTTATAAGAACCGTATAAACTTTCTTCTCATTTCTCATTTCTATAATCTTCAAATCTTGAAAATATCATGGAAAACCTTTTCTCCAAGTCATACAAAAGTGGCTGCAGAGGAAAACTCCTTGCCCCAAGACACACACTCCACTCGAATCCACTCAATGAGGCCTCGACTTGAAGTCTTTCTCAATGGAAGGCTTATAAAGAATTGACTCTGTCTCTGGCCAGGTTTCAGGTTTCATTCTGAGTGGAATTGTGGAGTGTCTTCAAGAGAGAGAGAGCAGAAACCAGTTTCTATTGGGATGCTGGATTGGCATGGAAGAACTTTCTTCTCATTGATTCTAGCGGCCTGCATATAAATAAATAAATTAAGAGACTTTCTTTCTGTCTGTGTGTGTCATCATCTATTCAACGACTCGAAAAAGCTAACGCCTCACCAAGGCCTGACCCAAATACTTGGTTGCTCTTTCACCATAGGTCAGAGCCAAAGACTGGGCCCGGTCTGGGCCGGGCTTAAACCTGGCTTGTACCTGGCTTTTCGTGCACCTTGTGTCATTATGTGTCTGGGTATCCGATCTCTTGGGGTCTTTTTTTGGGGCTGAATGTTGGACAACCAACAAAGCCAAGAGAAGGCAAGTATTTCCAGTCCTCTTTCGATTATATGCATCTTTATCGGCATCTTCATTAGTTTGACCCAATTTCATTGAAGAGTTCTTTTTACTTTCTATTTTTCCCTCGAACATCTTAAGAATATATATATTTTATGGATCTCTTGTTAAGCTTTTGATTTTGGGGGAAGTCGATTTACTTTCATTTGAGGAAATCTCTTTCATTTTTTCTCGATTTTATCGGCTATTATTATGATTATTAACATAGATGTGTGTGTGTGTGTGCCTGGGCGTTAGCCATGGCCACTTCCGTTTTGGAAGAGAAATGAAAACGAAAATTGGTAACAATTATTCAAATTTTATATATATAAAAGAAGAGAAGGAAATTTAAGGGGAAGCGAGGGAAATGAACATTTATTTACCAGAAAAACTACTTTTATTTGTTACTTTTTTCAATTTGATTGAAAACCAAAACAAAATTAACCTTTATTAACCTTTTTTCTTTCTTACTTCACATGTGGTTTAACCTTTAATTATTTTCCATCAACCTTCTATCTGGGTCGCATATTGCCAATTTCTTTTGGCCATCAAAAAATCATTTATTTATGGGTCAAAACAAAAGAGTTATAAATCTCTATAACCCACAAATTGAGTGCTCTAATCGATCGATTTCGGGGCAAAAAGAAAGCTGATCGGACAATTAACATAATGATTTGATAAAGACAAAAGATGAAATCACTTTAAGGCCATCAAATGTTCTTTCTTCTTTTTATATATTTTGTTTTTTTTTTGCCAATTTTTGATATCTTGGCCTGATATATATTGACAAATGGTTTCGACTGCTCGCTGCGAAATCAGGTCAAGTGTTGATAAAGGGCTTTCGACTGATAAAATGTTTTGATGGACACTTTTAGCGGCTTCATTAAGTTGTATTTAAATATATTTAAATATTAAGATGGATCTGTTGGCCTATAAGAACCGTTAAATGTCCGGGGGAGAACCTCAGTTCGCATTTACCACGCGTTTCGTTCGGTTGGTCCCTCGTTTCGCTGGAATAAAATCATGAAATTCGATCCACCTTCTCTAGTCCTCCTCGTGGCAGTGTCCCTCCTCTGGAGCTGCCATGGTCGGGAGTATAATTACAAGCCGCCTGGTCGCGGTTACTTCTATCCAAAGCCACCAGCCAGATTACCACCTCGGCCAGTCGTCAATGGATCCGTGGTTATAACTCCAACATCGCCATCACCGCCGGGCATACAATCGGATTTCATTGACGATCTGATCGAGGGCCATAAGCAGCAAATCTTATCGAATGTCCTGGGCGTGGCCAGTGAAACTCCCTCGGATCCGGTCTCATCCTCGTCCTCATCCTCATCCTCATCTTCAGCTCCATTTTCATTTTCCCCCCTTGAGGGCGGTGGTGCCAAGGCGTTCCGCGTTAATCGCTGTGCCAGCTGCAGTGAGTTTTCATAGGATAATACCATTGCTCTCTAACAATCCATAGAAATAGTACTGGTTTTAGTGTCGGAGGGGAAAATGAAACGATCCTGGCTAATCGCTGGCTAATAATTGCAAATTTCGAGTTGGTTATTGGTACGCCTATTGGGAAACGCATTAAATCGAAAAGTGTTTGTGGAACGTGCTGTGAAAATAGACAAACAACTTAATTTTTGTTGCCATTTTAACAGAACTAAACGCTATAAATTACAAATTTACAGGTTTAAGTAAAGGAAAAGCTTAAAATGTTTTTTTTTTTTAAATCAAATTTTCTATTACCTAGTTAAAAAACTAATACATTTTTGAAAAGTGCAAAAACTGTTAGTTGTAGAAATTCTAGAATATATATTCCTTTCTACCGATATAAAAAGCACATATATCACAATGTTTAAAAATCGAATTCTGTATCGTTTTTAATGGTGTTCTATTTCCGATTATATTATTTCGATATATATTATTAAGTTTACTTATATTGCAACTTTAAAGTCTCCATTAATAGACATAGCATTAGCATTTAATAATAATTAAGTTATGGATATACCGATATTCTTCGAAATCTTTTTCTAAAACTAAAGCTAATTCTGAAACTTAAACCAAAGCGAAACTTTTTATTAAACGGATGATAAAATCATTAAGAATTAATTTAATTTCTTTCATAATTAGTTCATATATACATCTTTTGAAAAAACAAGCCTAAAAAAATAATACTAAACTATTTTAATACAATTTTCTTTAAACAATACTTGAAACTTTTAAAACTCTACCTTAAAATTTCTTTACATATCAAGCTTTCTTATAAATTATTAATTAATATCTCCATTCGTATATAAGAGTAGTAAGATTATTTGTTAATAGTAGTAAAAAAAAACTTAAAAGCTGTATATATAAAAAAACTAGTTAAAACTTTACTTAAATTTCTTATAAATGATTAATTTATATTATAATCTATATATAAAATGAACTGATTTTCTAGTAAATTGTAGTACAAATTTTAAAAATTTAATTTAATTAGTTTTCTCGTTCGATTAATTGGCGTACAATCCCTCTCGTTACCCCCTTTGGATTTCATTTCCCCTCCTCTGACTGAAACACTTTTCCTGCTGAAGACCTCCCAGAGAGGAGATCCCCCATGAAAATTGCAAAATCCTCTTTTCACAGCCTGCGGTGTACCCAATGTGAATCGCATCGTGGGCGGCTCCCAAGTGCGGACGAATAAATATCCTTGGATTGCCCAGATCATACGCGGCACCTTCCTGTTCTGCGGCGGAACCTTAATCAACGATCGGTATGTCCTGACCGCCGCCCATTGTGTCCACGGGATGGACATGCGGGGCGTGTCCGTGCGCCTGCTGCAGCTGGACAGGAGTTCCACCCATTTGGGGATTACCCGTTCGGTGGCCTTCGCCCATGCCCATGTGGGTTATGATCCGGTGAGCCTGGTCCATGACATTGCCCTCCTGCGACTGGATCAACCGATCCCTCTGGTGGATCCCATTCGTCCCGCCTGTTTGCCAAGTAATTGGTTGCAAAACTTTGACTTCCAGAAGGCCATCGTGGCCGGTTGGGGTTTGAGTCAGGAGGGTGGCTCCACATCCAGTGTCCTGCAGGAGGTGGTGGTGCCCATCATAACGAATGCCCAATGTCGGGCTACATCTTATAGATCCATGATTGTGGATACTATGATGTGTGCGGGTTATGTCCAGACGGGTGGCAAGGATGCGTGTCAGGTGGGTGCTATAGAGAAGATTTCAGAAGGATTTTTCAGCGAATATATATATCTAGAATATGGATTTTTTCGTAATACATTTTATATACACATTTTTCCAGGGTGACAGCGGTGGTCCTTTGATAGTCAAGGATCGCATTTTCAGGCTAGCTGGTGTGGTATCCTTTGGCTATGGCTGTGCCAAGCCCGATGCTCCTGGTGTCTATACTCGAGTCTCTCGTTATTTGGATTGGATAGCAGTGAATACAAGGGACTCCTGCTATTGCATTAATTAGTAAAAGTAAAACAAGTAAAATGATATATTTATGCCTAGACCCATTTTTATAAAGGAAAATAAAACGATATAAATAATTTACGGGTGGGACTGTATTTTATATGGTTTTATTTACAGACCATAAATTAAATGGTCTTTGAAATTACCAAATATATTTTTATTTTTATAAAGTAGAACAACATTTTTTTGCTAAACCCAAAAGATTTATTTACATCCCACAATCCAGTTCTCTTGTTGAGGTATTTATTACTTTATTTTTTGACCCACGCAACTCCCTCTCGATCGACATCTGGTTTTACTTTCTTAATGCAAAAGAAACATACGAAAAAAGATACAATTTGTACAAATATTTTGTGAAAAACTGGTTATTGAAAACCCTTTCACTTTTGTAAACCTCAAAAGAAATCAATAAAAAACTGAAATTAAATCCTAAAAACTAAAGCCAAGGACATTTGCCTGACACATTGTTATCAACAATTGTTGGCACTATCCTTTAAGTTGACAAAAGTTTTATCTTTATCCCTTTGCCGACCAGGTCTGGGGCCTCTTGCCGACAGTTGTTTTTTAATGGATTTTCAAGTTATTTCTGGTATTTTGTTGTAGTTGCCGCTGGCTGCATGTCGCAGAAATACGGCGAAAACAAAGATATCTCAGCGAAGGAAAGAAACTCGTTTGTGGCTAGGGGCCAAAGAAAATGCCGCATAATTGCCGCCGCCACGGGGGCGGGATCCGGGGCGGGGTCCCGGCCAGGTCTATATACCTCTAGGTCTATAGACGGACATCGAGGGGATCATGAGAGGGGGAAGATATGGAGCCACCGAATCGACAATGTTGTCAATGCTGCCAGGTTGCCCTGGCATTTGATTTTATTTTTAACTAGACTATAATTGATGCCCGGCATTGCTGGGGTTATCGAGAAGGCAGCATGACACAAGACGGCGGCTTGAGGAGGGGAAAACTGTGACAAAAATGAGGAGAGTTCAGGTAAAAAACAAGGTGGTTCATGTAAAGAAAAGTGCGAAAGAAACAAACTCAAGGAGTTTTGTAAATATTTTAAAGTGATTTTTGAAGAGATTTTAGTCTTAATACAAAGTAAATGAAAAAAATTTTGTAGTTACACATTTAATATTAATTATTGTCGGCTAATACTTTCACAAATTATTTAAATCTATTGGAAATTGTTTAATTTTAGACTGCTTCTTACAATTTATTTTATTTAAAACGACTAAGGCAATAATACGTAGATTTTTCAGCATGTTGTTATTTTTAAAGCTTTATGAAACATTTTCAATCGTATTTCCATTCTCATTGTAGTTTCTACTTTATTTTATTTTTAAACAAAAAACAAAAAACATATATTTTGGTAAATTTATTTTGGAAATTTAAAAAATATAGACTTTGAATAATAGATTTTATTTCTAACCGTAGGTTATTTTTTATACCCTATATTTTTATTTCGAAGCATGAAATGCATTTAAATACTCATTTCCGACCCCATAAATCATATATATTCTTGATCAGCATCGAAAGCCGAGTCAATCTAAGCATGTCAGCAAGAAAAAAAAAAATTACAAATTTTTTGAAAAAATTTAATGGTGAAATAATTAAAATTATACAACGAAAATTGATCAAAATTTGAATTATTTTAAAATGTTAGTTTAAGTATGCAGATTTTTTAACATAATGAAAACTAACATAGGAAAACTTTCCAAATCAAAATAAATGCTTTTTTGGATGAGTTATGAGTTTTTTAAACATTGATTTTTCATATAAAATTATCGATTTAAGTATTTATTTAAATGGCTTATTTTTATAAAAATTAAATAAACTTTTTATGATGTATTACGCTATAATGCCTTAATTATGTGTTAATTATAATTAGCAAGTTTAAAACACCTTTAAATAATTAAGAAAGGAATATTCTAATAATGCAAATAATTTTATTATCATAATTTTTATGATACCATCAAGTTCCTTAAAGTTTAATAGACATTAAGTGATTCTAATGATCACATTTACTAAATATAATATTTCTACCACCATCCTTGACCTAAAATATCATCTAAAGTGATAAAAAATAATCAGATAATACCTATTAACTATTAAAATTAGTTTCGCTATAAAATTAACTTGCCAGAAACTAGTTTACCTTCAAATTTCTTGCATTTTTTTTCTCTTTTGTGGTTTTTTGATAATTTTATCAGATTTTAAGAGTACCTTGAGACGAAGAGGAGTTTTAGTACGCTTCGCTGGCTAATTTAACATAATTCTCACATAAATCTCCAGCGAGTTGGGTAGAGAAATTTTCACGCCTCGCTGAAAAACTCCATTTCTGGGCTTATTTCCCTCTGATTTAATTCATTGCTAATTTTGTTTTGTTTTCTAGTTTATATATATTATGTTAAGGAGTAATAACAAATGTCCTAAAATGTGGCCAGACACGGACATAAAAGAGCATCATCTATGGAAGCACTTTGCTGCCAAACCGCAAAACATTTTAATAAATTGCCAGTTATTAGTTACTTGCGGAGCAGCAGCGGAAAAAGTGCAATTAAAATGCATTCCATGTAAGGGAAGAGGGGGGAAATCAGAGAGAGGGGAAGGAAGTTCCGCAGCAAAAGAAAATTAGCATAAGCATTGACTTTTTTTCCTATAGGGGAGAAATAAAAATAAAAAAAAAACAGTGAAGAAAAACACTGTTGCGCTAGTTTCCCATAATTTGCCCCAGCAAAGATAATGAGCAAGAAAGAGTAGTAGTCCAGGGGGGGTTTTGCTATGGAAAATGAGGGGAAAACCCCCTGGAAGAGGCGGGAAAAACTGCGGTCAGTCGCATAGCAAATGGTGTGAAACTTCGCTAACAGTTAGAGGGAGAGAAAAGGACGGCTTGCATTGTTCAGCGGCACTTGCCTTTTTGTTGTTGCTATTGTTGCTATTATAATTAGCCTGCGCTCTGGCAATTTGCATAAATGTTTTTAATTAAACGCATTTAAAGCATATTTTTCAAACACTCACACAATGAGGGAATTTGCTAATGAAATCGAATTGAGGGGGAAATGGGAAGTGCCTTCAAGTTAAAGGTTATTAAGCCTAATATGGGAACACGCCAGGGAAAGTTGTAAAAAATAAAAAAAATATTAAACAATTGCTCTTCGTGGGGCGCCAAGATAAGAGATTTTAAATTAGACGCTTAATGGGATCATTCATGACTAAGTTTTAAGCAGGAAATTGAATTAAATATGGCTTTAAGGGGGATTTTCTTTTATGCCTAAAAAAGGGAAGCTTTTAAAAGAAGGTACAAGGCTTATGCACGTTTTGTTTAAAATTTATATAAAATTTACATGATATTTAATTTAGATTATTAATCAAATTATTTTATTAAATTATTTTTATAAAAATGTTAAAATTTAAAATATTATTTAGGGATATTTATCGAAAAGAAAAGCCTTAAGTTATAAAAAGAAAAATTTTGTTTGCAGAGTATTATAATTTCAGTTAGAAGTTTGTTTCTATGTGAAGGAGTCATTTCCGACCCTATAAATCATATATATTCCTGATCAGCATTAAAATCCGAATCGATCTAGCTATATCTGGAAGAACTAAATTTTTATAAATATTTTTCAAATTTTTTTCGACATTTTTTCATAATCTTTTAAATGATAAAATTGGAAAAAAAATGTAATTCTAAAAAACTTAAAAATGAAGATGCAGATTTGTTAACCTAATTAAAACTAGCACAAAACAGTTTTCCGATTTGAATTTAATGCATTTTTGGCTTAGTTATGAGTTTTTAAATTTGATTTGTCGAAAAATTTGTCATTTTAAAAAACACCAATAAAATTCAAAAACAATTATATTTTATTTTTGTTAGAATTTATCTAGAAAATATTTATGCATTAAAAATACTAAAATAAAATAAAATAATGAATAAATGAATAATCGAATTAATACGAAAGAGATAAAGAATTTCTAATCAAAACAAAAGTATTATGATTTGGTCTTCGTTCTGGCTGTTCCCATTTATTTTTTTATACCCAAAACAGGGATTCTCATTTCAGTCTATTCTTGATCAGCATCAATAGCTGAATCGATCTAGCTATATGCGGATGAAAAAAAATTTTATATTTTTTTCAACTTTTTTTGACATTTTTTTTTGACATTTTAAAATTGGTAAAAATTGAAAAAAATGAAATTCTTGAAAACTTAAAAATTAAGATGCAGATTTGTTAATCTTGTAAAAACTATCACAAAACAGTTTTCCAAATTAAAATTAATGCATTTTTGGCTTAGTTATGGTAATTGAAAAATATTAATTTACCCATAAATTTAGAATATTAAAATATCAATTTAATACACTAAAACTATACATATTTTAAGTTTTCTTTGTGGTATTCGAGGGACAAAAAGCCAATGATTGTCAAAAGTAGTTTATATTTTGACTTGGAATCAAAACCTTAATCAATAAAAAATAAAACATTGAGCAAAAAATGTAAAAAAAAATGCAACTCAATTGTTCAAGTTTTCTTACTAAAAAAAATACTTAAAATAATATTTTTAAATAAATAAATCAAATAGAAAATCAATATTTCTCACATTTATTATAACACAGTAAAGAGATTTAAAACTATTGATTTACATATCGTTTTCTTTCGTCAAAAGTGCATACAGCCTTCAATTATACATTTTTTCTTAAAATAATAAACTAAAACATCTATCCCTTTACATTTTTTATGTAATTTCTTTAATAATTTACCCTTTCCCATGATTCCAGCACATTAAGCTTAGAAAACATTTGGAAACTAGTTCAATTAGTTACCAAACCAAATTCGAAACACCTTCATTATTATATAACACCCAAAGGAGAAAAAAAAACTTCAACCTCAATCAACTGCCAACCCACTTATCACTCCCTTGTCACTCTTAAACTAACCGCATCCGAACTAACCATAAAATCAAGTCAGAGACGGAGGCGATTAACTTGTTCCATGAACTTTCAAAATGCAACACCAAAAAGAAATGAAACGAAACGAAAAGAAACCCCAAAAATAATAATAATAAAAAAAGATCCCACACCAAAAAGCTTGCCAAAAACTCGATTCAACCTCAGTTATTTCCTTCCTGTGTGCACGACAACCGCAAACTTTTTTTGTATTGCCATTTTTTAGCTACCTCAAATGTGCAAAAAAAAAAAAACAAAAAAGAAGTACGCAACAATTTATGTCAACTTTCTTTTTATCAAACACAAAAGAAGGAATCAACAAACGTGTTGCCAAAACGTCGGGTAGACAACAAAAATTCCAAACAATTTTCAAAGCCACCGCAAAATCTTGCACCACACAGACTCCACAAGACTCCACAAACTCCAACTCCCACACAAAGTCAGGCCGTCAGGTGGGTTTTTTCCTATTTCTTTTTTTTTTTTTGTTGGTCTTGGGCTTCGAACAGATGATTTAGCGACGAGTTTTTCAGTTTCCACAAACTTGCAGAGTTTGCCTCCAATGAGCTGCAAGAAAGTTGCCGAATCACGGCTCCGTGGCATCAACTCCTGCCCCATCATATACATTTTTTGGGGGAGAGTAATCGAAAAGTATGCGGTGCCTTGGCGGACAGGTGACCAATAACCACGGCACTGGTCGGTTCAGTTCTTAAACTTGTTTCAATTTACTGTATTTTTTACCGCTACTGTTGTTGTAGTTGTTGTTGTTGTAGTTGTTGAGGTTGTTGTTGAAGTTGTTGTTGTATTTGCTGGTGTTATTGGGGCATTGCATACCCTTTTTCCCCGTGTGGAATGTTGGGCATTTTTCTGCTTCAGGACATTCCCAGGATTCGCTATTAATTGAATTGGTGTCGAAAAGTATGCTAGGGAATATTTATTGTAAAATGAAAACGATTTGAAATCAACAGAAATGGTGTCTGAAAAAATTTGATGAAATATTTCTTATGGTATTTTAAAGGGGTCAGCTTTTTACAAATAATATTAATTGAAATTTAATGAACAGAGGTTTTATGTTACCAGAGATTATTTTTTTAGTCTACTGAAAGTATTGCATAAAAGGAGTAGTTATATTTGAAGGGTTTGATATTAAAAAATATACATTTGATGGTAGTTAAAAATTATAGACACCTTTTTAAGGGGTTTAAAAACATTACTGATTTCATGAGAACCTAAAATATATTTTTTATCTAAGGGTAACATTTTATTTGAATTAAATATTGTTTAATAACCTTTACTTAATGGTTAAAAATTTCTACAAAATCCTTGAGGGCATTGCAACTTCTATAGGAAAAATTGTAGGCCTGCAGCTTGTTTGTTTTTTTTTGGACTCTTCTCTGCGACTGTCCTTACTTATCGCGTATTTTATTCTCCTCTTTTTATTTCAAACTTTTTTTTTATAATTTTTTTATGTGGCTATAACTGTTGTTTTGGCCAGTCGGTGTGTGTGCCCGGTAATTACCAATGACGACGGGAGCAGGAACAAGAACTGGACCGGGATTGCATGGAGCAAAAACGAGTCGAGTTTGTGCCTGGCCTGGCCTGGCCTGGAACATCACAAATCTGAAATCAGTTTCATTATATAAATTGTTACCTTTAGACAATGTGGCAGACAGTTTTTGGCCTGGATGGCAGGCCCTCATTGGACCAAGTTTAGGTATATTTTTTTCCCCTCAGTGAGGTACTGGAAAATTGCACACAATTTGCGCTGCATAATGTCAAAGTTGGTTTCGCGCGAGGCTTTGTGTGAATTGGATTTGGTATCCGTTGGATGAAAGTAGCTCAAAGTAACGCACTTGACTTCAATTAGACAGCAAGCACTTACCAATTGGCCCGGCTTGGTTCCCTTTTCCCCCCGGGGGTGGGAAGGCTGTGTTTCATTTTTTTCCGCTGGTCAAACAGCTTCCTCCTCGAAAATGGCAAACTGTGTCAGTCAGCAGCGACTTTGACTGGCATTCGTCTGCCCTGCCCCCATCCCATTGCATCCCATTTCATGGCATCCGACTCCGGTTCCTCTCTGCCCGATCTTTTCCAGCGCCCAACTCGGCGTTTCTCAGGGCCCCATTTGGTCATTTTTTTTGTATTGCTTCAACACTGGGAAATATGGCGCATATCTTTTAGTAATTTATTTAGGCAGATAAATATTTTAATTTATATTAAATAAGAAAATTCTAAATTGTACTGAAAGACATTTTTTGAATTAATTTTTAAGGAATATTTCAAAGGTATTTAGGTCTCCTGAATTTCCTCCTCCATTTTCCCCAGTTTTTTCCTGTGTGTGTGCCTGTCCAGCGCCTGCCAGTCAGCCGCCGCTGTCCATCTAGAACCCTCTGCTGCTCCTTCTGCCCCTTCTTCCATGTCCGCCGGATTCTATTGCTTTGTTTGCTTCTCCCTGTCCTGGCCCTCTGGCGGGGTTCTCTCTAACTGTTTGTGCTATACCCCAAGTGTTGACTGACAGGTGCCGCCGGAGAATTTTGGCGCTACAAAGTGCATAAATAAAAATTTTTGCTGCAACTATGTTGACAGTGGAACATGGCAGCTAAGGAACAAGAGAGTCGAAAAAAAAACAAAATAAAAAAGAAAAAAGAAAAGCACGATTCTGCAAGCCATTAGTTAGATGAGTGAGCAAAGGAGAGAAAGCAAAAAGCAGGAAGCAGGAAGAATTATGGCGGCGAGTTCTGATTGCGGCTTAAAGTTTGAATTAAAGTTAGTTGAGGACTTGCTAGACATATTTTAAAGGAATTTAAAGTATATATATATTTAATAATATTAAATATAGTCTACATTAGTTAAGATTGCTGAATAAAGAGCTTTGAATAAATATTTCTTTCAAAGATTATAACCAGCTATAATTATAAATTTTTTCAAAGCTTTTAGTGTAATAATAAATGATTTAAATCGTTAAATTTTAATATATAAATATCCGAGGCCCTCAAAATTTATGAAGTACCAAAATCCACAAGTTTATGTGAAGATTCTGACTTGTTTTTTAAATTTTTAAATTGTTAAAGTTTTGTTATTTCCCTTTAAATGTTTATAAGTCACAAGCTTAAAACCGACACATAGCAAAAATAATATTATAAAGTTAAGCTAGCCATTTATATAATTTTTTACGCATTTAATTATTTTGTATACAATTTATTTATTATTTTATTTAATAAATAACCAACTTACGTTTTAATTTCTACATAATACACTTGCGACATCTTTTGTTTTTTTAAGTACAAATAAAATTTTACATGTATCTTACATTCAACTGATCTACCTTACACAACTCTTACAATCTAGATTTTGGTTCGAAACCTTGCTCATACCTACATTTTAACATGGATGTTAAAGTAAAGACACACTGCAGCTTAAGCGATGTTAGCCAGATCGCCAACCATTAAAAATGCATATAATGGTTTACCCAGTTAAGCCGTACATTTTTAACTATAATAAAATTATTAACATTTTACTTGAATTTTGTATTAATATTTCATTAATTTACCTTTGCAGTTTCTCACTTAAAACCTGAATAATGGCCTCAGCAACACAGGCCAACGGCACACCGTCAGCCAAGACAGCCACCGATAATGATAATGATAACGATAACTACATAACGGTTGTTGAGGTCGATGATCCTACATCGTCATCGAAGGATCGCCTGAAAAAGCTAGTCAAACGCCAATCTTCTGTCGCGGAGGATTCCTCCTTTATCACAGTCCTGACCATCAACGAGATGGAGTTGCTGCAGCAGCGTCGCCAGGAGGAGCAGGAGCAGGCGGAGGCGCAGGCGGGCGACAGCTCTTGCATCCAAATCAAGGAGGATCAGGTGGAGGATGTCACAGTGTTTCGACTGCCAGGTGAGCGTCTGGGTTTCGGTTTGAAGTTCCAGGGTGGCACGCGCAGCACAGAGCTTGTCCAGAAACTGTACATTCAGTCCTGCGCCGCCGATAGTCCCGCTTCCAAAGTGGCCACCAGTTGGGGAAACTTGCGCGAGGGCGATGAGATCGTGCGGATCGATGGCCGCGATGTGAGGGAAATGACTCGCATTGACTGCGTGCGCGGACTCAAGGATAATGTGGCCATCCAGTTGGTGGTGCGCAACGGTCATGGCCAGAAGCCGCCCAGCGAGGAGGAGTCCCAGCAGCAGCTGGAGCAGCTGTCAATCACACTCAATGCCCAGCCACCGCCGCCGCCGCCAGTGCCGCCAAGGAAACTGGTGAGGCGACAGAACTCCAAGGAGAATCCGGCGCAGTTGCTGGCCGTGGAGAAGCCATTGACACCGCCACCGGATGCAGAGTACTACATCAATCTGCTCACCGAGTCCATTAAGGCCGGTTCGGAGTCAGATGACACTGCCAGCACCATTTCCACAGTCATTGACAAGTTCTCCATGGGCTCCAACTACTCCTCGGACAGCAGCCTCAATGGCCATGAGCTGGCCAAGGTCCTGCAGCCTTTCACTCTCCTGGAACAGGAATTTCTGCCCCTGGAACAGGCCATGGGACACCCAAAGCTGCTAATTCCTGGAAACAACTACGAAAATGTCGAATTCAAGACGGAGAAGGTTAATGTCTACGAAAATGTGGTGTTAAGGAGCCCAGAGACTACGCCTACGCCAAAGCCCAGAGTCCAGTTGGTGGCCACCGTGGAGCCCAAGAAGCGATCCATTATACCAACGCCCCGAAAGATTCCTACGCCCAGCAAGCTGCCCATTGAGGTGGCGCCACCAAGAGTGCCTCCTTCCCCTTCCGCTGAGGAACCCAAGACGCCCACCAATGAAAAGTTGGACTCCCCGAGGACACCTACAAATGAGGGATTGAAGGACTCGCCCTCCAGTGCCACCAAAATACCCAAGGCTAACTTTTCGAGGGCCAAGACAGAGGGCGAGATTAAGTTGCATCTACAGCCACCGAAAAAGGAGTCCTCATCCCCAACGGTCAAGTCGCGCATACCCATAGTCACAACACCAACACAAAAGGCGGTTTCCAAGCCAATGTCGCCTCCGTTAAATGGAACCTCGAGCATCCCGCGGCTCCTGCAAAAGCAGAAATCCGAAACGGATCTAAAGCTGAATCTATATCGAAGCAAGTCCAAGGAGGCAAGCCCCAGGCCTCCACTGCAGAGAGCCAACTCTGCCGAGGCTCCGGAGCGCACCTTTATTCCCGTCCTGCTCAATGGCAATGGCAAGAGTTCCAATTCCCTGGAGAGCATCAGTTCGAATGGCAGTAATAGCAGCGGGAACAGTGGAAGATCCCCCAAAGGACCCAAGCCCAAGCCACCAGAGCGGGTACAGTCGCTGCAAAAGACGCAGATACCCAAGCTGCAGGCTCTGCCAACCACTCCACCACAGCAGCAGCCCATGCTGAGCATGCAGACCTTCAGGCAGAGTCCTCCCACGCCCAGGTCCACGCCAGTGGGAACTCCATCCCCCACAAGTAATCGCGAGATACGCTTCAAGATCCAGACGTATGAGAATAAGGCCCTAGAAGAGAATAAGCTGCCCAGTTTGTTCGATTTGGTGCACAACACCAATCAGCAGGAGAAGGACAAGGATACCGATTCACTCAAGACCCACAATAGCATCACAGCTCTGCTAGCAGCCGCTGCTGCCGAGGCTGCGGATCTTTCAAGGGAATCTCCACCTCCCCTGGTCGTTGGCAAGTGCATGAAAATTGCGGATGACAATCAGAACACCACTTGCTACTCCAGCTCCAGCAGTGGTGAGGATGAGGATGAGGAGGACGACCTGGATGCGGCGAACAGGGAATATGTTTGCGAAGATGGTGAGAAGCTGGGACCACCGGAGTTAATCAATGGACCAGGACCCTCGGAGGCTTATTTCAACATGTTCTGGCACTCCAATATGCTGCCAACCATTGGTGAAGTTGAGGAGGAGTTCTCCTCTTTGGAACCACAATCCCTGACCAATGGGTGAGTAATGGGTGTCTTTCGATTAGCACTGATGTCACTTTTGAGGGATAAGATTAGAGAGTTTACATATATAATACTTGAGGAACTATTATTAACTATTAGGTTGGTGGGATTGCGGTAGAGTTTTTCAAGGTTTTAATCATATATTTTATTAAAATATTAGTTATATAAATTTATTTAGTTTTAATATGAAATATTACCTACCTTCCGGTTTATTCATCATTAATTTTGCTAAATACTTTTAATGATCAATATTAGGGTTTTAAAGACTACCTATAACTAAAGTATGTATTGAAGTTTAGTAAAGGGAAATCCCCTATAGAAATAACTAGTCCTTGAGGTTATTTACTATTTCATAAACCTTTTCTATACCTCTTTACAAACACACACTCTTTAACAAGTCATTATAGAGTACTTTTTAGCCCACAAAACCAACTATTTCGCAAAAACGAAATGCACAAAACGAATGCCAAAAACAATTGACGGGGGTAAGTGGGCTAGGCAAAAGCGGGGTAGGGTAACCCCTCAAAACAAAATAAAATCAACGATGAAAACGAAGCAAATAAAAAACAAAAAAACACTTTGATAAGACAAAATGCCGGTGTGTTTACTAACACAGCGATAACTACCAAACCGATAAGGTGTATAGGAATATAGTAATATGGCAAAAATGGAAAATTAGAGCCATCATCAGTGTGATTTTGGTAACGTTCGGTGAAGGTTCGGTAAATGATCGAACCTGTCTGCAGGTGTGAAGGCAGCAAATCAATTAACATATCTCATATACTGATAAGAAAAGTCGTAATTTGTAATTAACCGGGCTTACTTTGCTTTTCTTTCCGTTTTTTATCCAGAAGTCTTGTCAAAGCAGAGGAGCAGTCGAAGAAGTTGCCCAAAATGGAGGTTAATGCTGGCCAAGTGACCCAGCTGACCGACGATAAGATTGCCGAGCATGACGCAAGGGAAACTGAAGTGGAGGAGAATCACAGCAGCTCCACAGTGAAGAGCCAACGAACCTCGTCATCCACCACCACGACTACCACTTCCAAACGAGTGACCACCACCAAGACTAGCTCTTCGAGCAGCTCATCCAGCAGCAGTTCCTCCACTCTTCTGCCTGATATAGCCTTCAAGCTGCAGCCGTATGAGGAAAGGGATGACAAGTCTGGGGAATCACCCATCACGACCACCGTTCACGAGGAGCGACGTGTTTTGAGCGAACAGCAAACACTCAGCGAACTGAGGACAAAGGATTCGATTACTGGTGAGGAGCAGCTGGTGACCAGTGCCAACTCAAAGTCAAGCAGTGCCCGGTTCAAGAAGATCAGCAGCAACGACAACCTGCTCGACCTTGGTGACGAGCAGGAGATGCAGGAGCAGCCGTTGACCGCCACGATCAGCCATGAGTCGAGTCTAAGGGAGCGGCTGGAGTGTCCGCAGGATAACCAGAGTATCGAGCGCGGTACCCTGACCCTATCCGAGCGTGGCAAGCAGCTGAGCCAGAGCCAGGGTCTGACCACCTACACAGAGTGCGAGACCAGCGAAAAGGAGTCCTATCTGGAGGCACAACAGACCCTCAATGGAAATGGATCTCCCCAAGAACTAGATTTTGATGAGCAACCCACCTTCGAGCGGGAGCTGAGCGAGACATTGACGGTGACCAATGATGGGGAGAAGCAAGTCACCAGGAAACTGGAGCAGAGCAAGGATGTGGCTGGGAAGAAGGGTGCCAAGCTACTCAAGAAAACCGACGAGGAGCGACGTCTAGAGCAAGAGGCACAAAAGCTAATCGAGAGCTATCAGAAGGTGAAAAAGGAGGCGGAGAAGCTGTACAGATCCGAGATGAATGACGATGATCAGGGCTTCGATTTGAGTGCCTTTGAACAAGATGAGAATAAGGATAAGTCCCAGAAAGAGAAGAAGGATTCTACAAGCCAAGAAATCATAGAACTTCTTGAAGAGGTTAAACCTAACCAAGAGCAAGTCAAGGAGGAAGAAGTACCTCCACCACAGCAAGAAGTGAAAGAAGATATCACAGTCGAAAAGAAGGAAGTCAAGGAGGTCTCCCAAGAGCAAGTCAAGGAGGAGATTACCTCTAATCAGGAACTCAAGGAAGCCTTGGAGAATGGTGTCAAGACAGTCTTCCACCAGGAGGCCAAGATAGTTCACAAAGAGCAAAAAGTGATCAAGGAAGGATCAATCCAAGTAACCGGGACAACGACAAGTCACAAGATGTCCACCGAGGAAGTCAAGGTATCCAAAGAAGTACTCAAAGTTTCCACAAATAAGGAAACTCCCGTACAAGTAGAGATCATCTCACCGCCCCTGGAAGAAGACCTGGGCTATGTGCTGCATAAAAAGATCATCCAACCCCCAGAGAAGGTTAAGCCCGTGCCTAAGCCCAAGCCCAAGCCACCAGTGCCCACAAATAAACCCAAAATGCCAGCTAATTTGACCAAACCCAAGACGGCACCACCGCCAGTGCCCAGCAAGAGGAGTGATGTATCAGCTCAGCTCAGCGCCAGCTCCAGCTCCGGCTCCGGCTCAGGTTCCGTCTCTGGCGGAGCTAAGCCCACGCCCAGTCAGAGGCGCAGCAGCCTGGAGAGCTCACAGCCGCCCAAACCCCTGACGCGTATAATTGTGGGCGTGGAGCAGCCAATTATCAACCTGGCCAGCGAGGATTTACCCAATGTGGCCGAAAAAGTTGCGGCAACAAGTCCTGTGGTGGAAATGCCACCAGATGACCTGCAATTCGAGAGTCACCAGCTGCCCGATGATGGGGGCAAGCGACAGCAGGAGCAGCAAAAGGATCTGCTCAGCGGTTCGTCATCCTCGTCGGTGACCACCACGCCCATAACGACACCAATTTTGGTATCTGCCACATCATCGATGGACTCGGTGCAAAGTGTCATCGAGGTTGTCAACGGCATTCCCATCATCAGCCATCACCAAACCGACGAGGACGAGGACGATGACGATGACAAGAATGATGATGATGGAGATGGAGATGATGATGATGATGCAGGTGATGAGGTTCCGGTAGCCAATGGATCAAAGGAAACGACGATGGCTCCCGTGGAGGAGGTGACAACGTTGCCGCCCAACAAAGAAGATGAATCAGGTGAGTCCAAAGTCATTTATTTCTGGGGAGTTTTCTGTGTGAATGCTTGGAGGGTGGAGTAGGGATGGCTTAATAGATTTTTTGGGAGGATTTTGAGAGTCAGGAAATTAAATTTATATATATTTGTACCTTTATCTATGTATATTTTTATTTATTTATTTAAAAAACAACCTTTATGCACATTATTTGAAAGAGTTTATAAGGAAACATGGGTAAAACAACTGAAATATACCTTCAAAAGAATTTTAAACTATAAATATAAAATTGGAGTCATAAGAAGAGAGATTAATTATGCATTTCTGACCATTAGAATCTCCCTTATTTTTCTATATTTCTTCATATTTAAATATAAAGTTCTTTAGAAAGAATTATAAACAAACTCTGAGGAAAGCATTTTGGTTAAAAGAGACCCTTTAACTTCTCATAGTTTTTCATATTTAAATATAAGGGAAATATTATTAATTAAATATTATAGACAAGCTCTTGAGAAATTCTTAAATATTAAATCTATATTTCTATTTAAAAGAGACCCTTTAATTTCCCATATTTCTTTATATTTATATATTAGGGAGTTCTTCAACAATTTCTAAACAAACTCTTACAAAAGCATTACTTATTAAATATTTTATCCTGGTTAAAAGAGACCCTTAAATTTCCCATTTTTTCATATTTAAATATTACAGAGTTCTCAAACAATTATTACATTACAATTAAATATATATTATTACAATTGAATATTTAATTCTGGTTAAAAGAGAGTCTTTCTTCCTTCCTTCCCTTATTTTTATTTTATATTAAATTATCAAAGAGTCCTCTCACATTTTTTAAATATTTTAAAACTTATATAAAAGTTAACAAACTATATTTTACGCCAGGACTTTTATCCTGTTCGCCCAAAAGCAAAACTTCTGGCAAACTATTTTTGGCCAGTTGCAGTTTGGCCAAAATACCAAGTTGCATGTCGTGGGATTTACGACTTTTCGCTTTTGGCGGTGGCCAAATCCATCCATCCTTTCCCGCCCCTCCCCCTCTCATACCCCTCTCACCCCAATGTTTACTTGGTTTTGGATTTTTTGACAGTCTCCCCAAAAACCAACGACGCACGCAATTATCAGCCACCAAATGAGTTTTACAGCCACGATTCCCGGGGAACCCCCTTCTGGCAACTTGTCACATTGACCGCAATTTTTCAGCTTCCTCTCTAGCCTCCGGTCACGCCCACAGTCTACGCCCACAATCCACGCCCACTAGCACAATCCACGCCCACTTTTGAGCCCATTGCGTATGCAAAACGGCCACTAATGGACTTTATGGCCAAAAGTTTTGTTTGGTCAGTTTTTTTTTTGGGTTTTTATTTTTCGTTACGGCGGCTTTTAATGGCACCCTTCCACCATTAGTGTGTGTGTGTGGGAATATATCTGGTTTTATTTACTTTTAGTTAAGGGTATTTTGTTTTTTTATTTTTATAGTTGAGATTATGCTATGTAAATTGAGTTTATCTTTCAATTTGTTACGGGATGATGTTTAATTAGATTAAAAGTTAATTGTGATGGAGAATGTGGGAAGTGAAGGGTTTGCCATTAGTTGGTTATCTTTATTTATCTTTTAGAATTAGAAAATTGTATTTAAAATTTATGAGGAAGTTATCTTTAGCATTAGAAAATGTATTTAAAATTTATAAGAAAGTAAATTGTAGAGGGTTTGATATAGATTTTCTTACAAATTTAATAATGAGCTTAGCTAAAGTTTTTTGGGGTTAAATTCAGTTAATTGTAAATATTTAAATGCAGTTCATATATTTAACATTTTAAAATTTTTAAAACCAACAAAATCACAAAATTAATCCCTTAAAATTTATAAAAATAATATTCAACATAAACTTGCCCTAAATATTTAATCTGAAAGAGATTTGGTGACTCTTTACTTATAAAAACGAAACAAATTTGCATTTAATATTTTTTGGGCAAAGGCCTTAAAAAAGGTTGCTCGTCCAACTGCAGCCTGTATAAAATATTGTGGAAATGTTTTAATTAAATAACAAAAATAACAAAAAGGCAGCAAATATTGGCATCAGTTTTTCCTGGAAATTCCCCCCACCTTTCCTATAGTTTTTCCGGAATCCCAGAGCACGCGCCAAAAATATTTACATACCAAAATGCGTTTGCTGGGTGGAAATGGGTTACTCCCCAGGATTGGAAGGACTCTCTGTGGGTTTCAGATCCTCTTTTCTGGGTGTGAAATAATAATGAAATTTGCCAGGACAAGCAGCAACCCATTTGCATATTGCAAGGGGAACAGTGGAGCAGATGAAATTCTAGTGATAAAACGCATTAAAGTTTTAGGAGAATATATTTTTTTTAATTTATAAAATTTTTTAAATTGTAGGAAGGAATAGAGTGTTCTTGTTATTTAATTAAATGCAAATGATTAATATAATACAAATATGTTTCCTATGAAATTAAAATTATGATTATAAATAATAGTTGTATCTTATTGTTGATACAGATAAAAAGAGCGTAGAATCTTATTAGTTATTAAAGAAACCTCTAGAATTTTGTATTCCTTTTTTTGGTAATTATATTTCCCTTTTTATCTATTATCTCATAAATTATTTACCTACATTCCCATTGTAACCAATCAGTTTTGTTGTTATTATTTTTTGAAATGGGCCTTACCCATGGTACAACTTCATTGCTTTTCTGTGTTGTTTTCACTTGCAGCACGATAAAAACTCTTAACAAATAAGAATTTTTTCCATAAAATATCCATGGTTATATGTAAAAAATATGATTATTATTTCCTTTTTCTGTGACTGCTCTATGTCATTATTTTATGTGGTCGCAGAAAATTTGCAATTAAAGCTGCACAAAAATAATGTTTGCTTTACTTTATTTTATGGTTAACTTGAGCCATAAAAATATAATATTATATTTTTTCGCCGCAATGAGTTCCGTAATTAAAGTGTGTGTGTTTTTTTTCCTAGTAATTCCTAGACAACTGCATTGATAAGACCTCGTTCGATGGGGAATATGGCCTTATCTGTTTGGCAGGTTTTTGTCTGCGTTTATATGACTTTACCATATGGTCGCTGGCCCTTATCGAGATTGTAAATAATTGGGTTTCCCAAAAATAAGGAAAAACGAAAAATCAAATATAAATACAAACCACTATGTGAGGTCGATCGATGTCGATGCAATCTCGGACACGCTTTTCAATCGAATTGCCCCTTTGGGGAATGGGATTGATTTTTGAGTCAGACTTTTGGCTCTGAATCAGGACTTTGACTGACAGCGGCACCTCAGCTGCAGTTCTCTGGAATAATTGCTTCTGGGCGCCCTCAAAAAAATAAAAATAAAAGAAAACCCCCCTGGAAGTTAGACTCCTAATGAACATTCATGGAACATGGTGCTGACACTATCTGTCCCATGTGTCTGTCTGTCCTGTCTGTCGTTATATTTGCAAATTGGTTAAAAAGGAAGTGGAAGTGTGGGCGGAGTTCATTGGGAAAATAAATAAATATTGTTTTGAGAGTTTATCCATATTTTTGTGGATTTATGAATGAATATATTACTAGGTTTTTAGGAAGGTTAAAATGTTAAATGTTTAGATATTTTATTTATATTTAATTTCAAGGAGTTTTTGTGAATTGTGTTAGCCAAAACTAATCTTTTTATAAATACCATAAAATAATGAGTATATTCAAGTCTATTTCTTCTATAGAAATATTTTTTTAAGATTTATTTAAATCTTTATTTTGTTTCTATATAATTACAAGGCTTTTTTTGTGGATTATGTTAGATTTTCTATATAAAGAAAGAAACCTGATTATATCCCTTATTTTATGGGGTTTCCTTGAAAGATTCGTTAACTAACTAAATAAATAAACAAAAATCTTGGTGTATCCTTTATTATATTTAATTTTAAAGCTAATTCAAAACAAATACATTCCTCGAATATTTATGGTATATTTTTTATATATACTTCCATAATTATCCTAATAAATATATCATTAAATAGATTAATTATTTGTTAGTTTTGGGTACTATTCTCTATAGTTTTCCCCGCTGTTTTCTTGTGTTTTATTAACTATACAATCAACACCCTGGGAAAATTCCATTTTCAATTTAAACCTCCTTTTTTTCCTGTGTGTGTCTGTGTCACGAAATGTTGTGCAAAATTTATTGCCTTTGTGTGAATTCGAAATTAATTTGAAATTAATTTTCAATTTCGCTGCAGTTTGGTTTTTCGTTTTGTTTTCGCTTCATGTTGTGTTGTTACTGTTGTTTTTCCGCTTTTCCGCATTTTCCTTGTGTAATTACATGCTGTCCTGCGTTGTTGCTGGTTGTCATTGGCGCCTCGGGGTCCTTTGATTAGATTTTTGTTGCTAATTTTATTGTTTTGCGAATTTTGCGGCTTTTTCAACTGTTTTTATTTGCCATGACTGCCTGTGCTTGAACAATGAGAAAAGTGTTCGCGGCTATTGGGAAATCCAAATCCAAATCCAAATCCAAATCGAAATTGAATCCAGTGTAAACTGATGTTTTGCCAGCAGTATTGTGTTCATTCATTCGATTTGTTTTTCATCCTGCTAAAGGATTTATCTGTTCCCTCTCTATTTTGGAGTCTTATTTGCTTTGATTTCCAGTTTGAGGGAAAGACCTCTTTGTTTGCTTTTCAAATAGCAGTGCAGAATCAATTGTTGACCTGGTTATTTGTTTGGATTTTTCCTTTTTATATTTTTATAGAGTTTTTCCCAAAGGAAAAAGGTTGCAACCTGACTTATATTAACAGAAGAATAAGGAACCTTTATGCCGTCACTCATTTTCCAGCTTTTCCATCTGTCCATCATTATTTTTTGTTGTATATTTTCCTATTTATAGAGCATCAGCTTCATTAAGCTGAGTATATAGCTTCCCTTTTCCATCAACTGTCAAATTAAATGCCATTTAAAAGCAATCACATCCATTAGATATTTAGCTGCATTTTGTGGTTTCAGCTTT